TTCTAACTGCTTGTCCTAACTGATAAGTTAAGTTGTACAATATTTTGCTTTCTTTGTAAGTGTGCTATTATTTGCAGAGCAGGGGTGGGTTCTAAATTTTTTAACTACCGGTTCTGTGGGCGTGGCTTATTTTGTGGGCGTGGCTTGATGGTCATGTGACAATTCTTTAGGATTTAGCAGAGGTACTGGTCTACTAGGCTTTTAACTGCTTGCAGAGCTGTACCGGTCTACTCATTTGTTTTTGGAGGCACTGGTCTACCCATTTATTTTTGCAAGCACTGGTCTACCCATTTGTTTTTGCAGGCACTGGTCTCCCCATTTATTTTTGCAGGCACCAGTCTACTCATTTGTTTTTGGAGGCACTGGTCTACCACCACACTGCCTTTTAACACTGATCAGCTGTAGGGTGGCCCTTTGAAGCCCCGCGGCAAGAGTTTAAACAGTTTTTTTCCTTCTAGCCGATCAGCTGGGACTCAGGAGGCAGCAATAGATTGGGGGTGGGGCCAAATAAAAGGTAAGAATAACGCGGGAGGGCAGGGGGCGGGGGTGGCAGAACCGGTTTGGTGATGTAATATCGTCACCGCTACCGGCTCGGCGGAACCGGGAGGAACCGGGAGGAACCCACCACTGAAACAAATGTATAAAATAAAACAGAACACACAAAGGAGGTGAGACAGTTCTAAGAAAGCAGAGTTAAAATAGTTAGATCATAAAATTCTGACATTCTACATCTTCATATTTTCACCCACTGTTGTTTTATCTCTTTATATTCAGGAATGAAAGCATCTCATCTTTATGAGTCTCTCACTCACTCTCTCACTTGATTACCCTTGTATCTACTAAACAAGATCTTTATCTCTATTGGCCAGAAAATAGTACAAGATTAAAACTATCATCGAACATTTATGACAACCGATAGCTGCAGTAAATACGATACATCAATTTTAATTTTTAATATGGTAAATAATGTATAAATATCATCCAGGTGAGAAAAAGAACCTTTTGTAGGGTCCTCCGTAATTTTTAAAAGCGGGAAAGAGTTTTTGAGAGGAAAAAAGTTCAAGAAACACCGATCTAACTCTGCCTACGTCACTATAAGATCATTATAGCTAATGTAAAACATCTCCAGACAGAAGATTTGCATCATTGGTATTTGTGGTGGATCTAAATGATCTTACAATTTTGTGAAGCTGAAGCAATTTATTTCTGACTCCGATTTATTTCCAGTTTACTGGAAAATAAAGCAAAATCAGTTCTGAGCCTATGAAATGCAAATCAGCCTACAGTGAAGTTACATCATATCCCCAACCCATGGTCCAGCTTCCTGTTCCCTCTGCTTGTTTTTTGGCATAAGTATTATTTAGATTGGAGCTTTCTTTACGCTCCTGCTCCCAAATTCTATTTCTCCTTCATCCATATATGCCACCATTCTTAGATACTTAAAAAAAAAAAAAAAACACCACTCAGTGCAAAATTGCTGGCATATTCTTCTTTTCTTTTTCAATCCAATAGTGAATTGATGCCAGAGGAGCAAGATTTCAGTGGCTTTATTTACATTTTTAAAATCTATCCTACATAGCGCTCCCATATAGCTTTCTCTCGGGTTATTCTTTCACAAAATAGAAGAAAAATATAAACAAACATAAAAACATGAAGGGGGAAGACTGGGGGCAGGACGTTGCAGTAACTTACTGATCACCCAAAGAGACACAAGATTAACACTAACTGGCTGTTCTCTGAAAACACTAGATTTGCAAAGGGTGGATACCAGAGGTGGTTTCAGCAGGTTCTGACCAGTTCTGGAGAACCGGTAGCGGAAATTTTGGGTAGTTCGGAGAACTGGTAGTAAAAATTCTGACTAGCCCCGCACCCATCTATTCTCTGCCTCCCGAGTCCCAGCTGATCGGGAGGAAATGGGGATTTTGCAGTAACCTTCCCCTGGATTGGGGAGGGAATGGAGATTTTACAGTATCCTTCCCCTGCAATGCCCACCAAGCCATGCCACGCCCACCAAGCCACACCACAGAACTGGTAGTAAAAAAATTTGAAACCCACCACTGGTGGATACCTACAAAGACAACTCAAAGATGATTGCAGATAGGTTTTCAATTGCTTTATGTGGACTTGGGAAGCAGAAACATTATGAATGAGCAACTCAGAAATAGAAAAACCTCCTCCTGGTTGTACAAAGTTTTATTACAGCAGCAACATTAAAAATCTGAAGTCCTGTTTAATATTCATCATGTCATCATCAATCATAGTTCTATCTTCCATCTCTTTACTTACGAATAACCTCCATTAAATCTCAGTGACATCTCTGAGATGTGAAAGGACCGATGCTTTATTTCTAAAATACAAGGTTTTTAAAAAGAAATGCATACTTGCAGCCAGTTATGAAATAGGTATAAAATATTTATCTTGTTTTAGTATTTGATGGCTATTCTCCGTATAAAAAAAAAATCTGTGAATGTTTTTACAGTGACTTTGCTAACAATCTGACCCTTAAATTTGTTTACTGAAAGAGTGGGAAATTCTGTTAATTGGCTGAGTAATGAAACTTAATCTAATTGGGGTCTTTGGGGTATGTTGGGATACAATTTCTATCATTCCAATTGGTCATACTGAATGGGGTCAGCATGAGTTCAATGCATTCAGAAGGCAGTCTCAATCTAGTCCTGGAAAATAGTCTAGAATTATATTATATTGTTCACTGATAGAAAAGAGGACTATGAATGATTAAATAATAATGTAAAGTCCAAGATAGCATTTGATTACATGTACAAGAGGCAGCTGTTGGACTATTACACTGAGTTCTTCTTCTCAGTAAAAGCAGTGAAGAAAGGCAACTGCTTTCATAAGACAGGAGGAACTAAGTGAGAGAGAGTGTAGGAGGTAACCAGGCTAAGTCCGAGGGTAGGGTCAAACATGCCATCAGTCTTGAGTCTCTTCGCGCCGATAAGAGGTCTAAGTCCAGCCCACTTTGAATTCCATTGACTCTTACCTACTGCCAATTTGCTTTAATCATTAGTAGTTCAGATTCTTGTAGAGAGCTTCAGCTTGCAATAACCCTTTAAAATCATTTGAACTGCCTGGATTTCCTGATTTACCTGCGCTTGACAGCGAGCAAGCAATTCTTGTACAGTTTGATGGGACCAAAGATTACATAAATGTAATCCCTTAATTCATTCTGTAACAATGGTACACTTTTTCATATTAAATACAGGTAAGTCCTCAACTTGCAATTATTTGTTTAACAACTATTCGAAGTGTTAAGATTGATCTCTAAATCCCTGCACTTACAACCATCACACAACCGCACAGTCATTTGATCAAGATTCAGGTGTTTGGCAACCAGCATGTATTTACAATGGTTACAATCAGGGGTGGGTTCTACTTACCTTTACTACCGGTTCGCAACGGGGCTGCGCACATGCACAGAAGCATTCTGATGACATCGGGGTCGGTGGACAGAGCCTCCTGCCGGTTTTACTACTGGTTCTATAGAACTGGTGCGAACCGGGGGCAACCCACCACTGGCTACAACATCCTGGGGTAATGTGATCATCATTTGCAACCTTCCTAGCAGGCTTCCAACAAGCAAAGTCACAGAAGGAAGCCAGTTTATCTTAACAACTATATGATTCACTTAACAACCACAGCAAAAAGGAACATAATAAATTTAGATGCAACTCATTTAATAATCACTTCGCTTAGCAATGGAAGTTCTGGTCCCAATTGTGGCCACAAATTGAGAACTACCTATATACATTTACTAGACACAGAAAAGTGGCTGTTATGTAATTAGTTTCTATTACACCAGGAGTACTGAAAAATTGTTTTAGCAAAACTGTTTCACTAGAGACTTAACTGCATCTTAACAAGATCACCGTGTGAAACGATTTGGATTAATTTGCAGCTAAGCAACACACACAAATGCCTCATACTTTAATCTGGTACGTAGTCATACTTTTAACATTTATTGTGACATCCATTTCAGAAATATTAGAGCTCTCATAATGTTTTCCTCCCACTCCACAACAACTGGTCATTTTGACTCTTTACCGAATGCAATGCCAAATGGGTGTATTTTTACAGTATAACCTAATGGTGAAAAGGCTGTGACATGATCCTATTATCAGACTTCCAAGTATTCAAAAATAAACCTGCAGCTGAGTCAAATCCAGAAGGGGCAATTTTTTAAATTATAGGACAGCAAGAGAGAACAGAACTGGAGGCTCTGAATCAGGAGAAGTATAAATACCATGTGTCCTGCTTTTTTCTGCAGCTATTGCCATAAAAAAATAAATTCTGATTGTATAAGCACAGTCCAGCTGCAGTTTTACAAGTTAGAAATGCCCTAATTTAAAGTCCTGTTGATACTTTCCTTAACTTTCCTAGGGTTCATTACATACCCTTCTGTAAAATTATATTAGAACCGTGATGGCGAACCTATGGCACGCATGCCAGAGGTGGGACGCAGAACCCTCTTTTTGGGCACGCGCACCGTCACCAGCTGCTCTTCCGGGTTCCGGCATGCATGCACGTGCTGGAACCCAGAAGAGCAGCTGGCCGCCATGCGCATGCGCACACGCACCAGCCAGCTGCTCTCTTCTGGGTTCTGGTACTCTGGTGCGCGCGCGCACTCCAGTTTCGGCACTTGGTGCCAAAAAGGTTAAAAGGTTAGAATGATCAGGATGCAAAATATGTAACTGGCACAATTGAAGCAAGAGCATTCAAGCAGATTTACTTATTTATTTATAAAATTTATAGGCTGGCTATAAAGGTTAAGCCCGGGCGGCTTCTAAGCTCTCTGGGAATGAAACTGTTTCCAGCTTTTTAAGATGAGCTGTGCCCATTTGGGATTACTGTAAATGCACATGCACTTCAAAAGTTCTTGTAATATCTTTCTGAGAACTCACTAAAATTGTGGAGTATTATTTTAAAACCTTTCTGTCCAACTGTATAGGAAAAGGAAAGGAAAGGAAAGGAAAACGTCAGTCTTATATCTCAATTTTATTGCTTTACAAGTTAAGACTTTAAAGGGAAGGAAATACTGCATTTATGGATATGTTACACATACATTCAGCTGCAAACTGGAAGGAAAAAATACCTTTGGAAATGGACCTTTTTAGCTCAGAGTAAACTGTTGGTAAATACGTTGTCCTATAGTGCCATCTACTGTACTGATGCACATTTTAAAGTGACCAGAAGGTGGTGATGATACATTTTTGCCAAGACCCAGTATAAATCAAAAGAAAAATAATAGCTGTAAAATTCCATGCAGTTCACAATTTAACAACCGAGATAAATTAATATTTGTAACCAAAAAAATTCTAACACAACAACCATATGTGTAGCTTTCAAAAAGTGTCCTCTCATCCTGAAGAGTTACACATACACACACGATTAATATACTGTACAATAAATACAACCTGTACAGTAGCAATTTTGATGGCAGGCCCCACATGAACACACTAGTGAAAAGATCCTTAGATCCCTTTCAAAGATTCTCAGATTTTCACAGAGGCGAAGGGAAGGAGGCAGCTGAATTCAGAATCCCAGAGCCAAGTCCTTGAAACCACAAAGCTAAGTTTAGACTGTTTTCCTGGATCAGGGAAACAAAAATAAGAAATAAAGAACAACCCAGATTGTAAGGCAAAATAAGGGAAAACTGATATTGGGGGACTGTGATCAGAGAGCTGTAAACTTCAGAAGCAAGAGTTTAAATTCGGCTCTAGCTCAGAATGGGAATTAGAGCTTGGCAACCAGTGGTGGGTTGCCCCCAGTTCGGATAGGTTCGCAAGACCCGGTCCACTGACAGCCCCGGATGTCGTCATCGGCGATCTGCGCATGCGCAAAAGCTTCTGTTTCTGATCCCGTTGCGAACTGGTAGTAAAGGTAAGTAGAACCTGTTGGCAACATTATAAAACATTATAAAACAGGGGAATTGTTGTCCAGCAACTAAGTCATGTCCAACTTTGCGACCCCATGGACTATAGCACACCAGCCCTCCCATCCTGAAATTTGTCCAAATTCATGTTCATTGCATCAATAACACTATTTAAGCATCTCATCCTCTGCCGTCCTCCTTTTGCCTTCCATCTTTCCCAACATCAGGGTCTTTTCCAAGGAGTCCTCTCTTCTCATTTGGTGGCCAAAGTATTTGAGCTTCAGTTTCAAGTATCTGTCCTTCCAAAGAATAGTCAGGATTGATTTCCTTTAGGATTGACTGATTTGATCTCCTTGCAGTTCAAGGGACTTTCAAGAGTCTTCTCCAACACCACAATTTAATAACAGGGCAATATATTGTAATTAATCCATGTTGTTCAAATGAAACTATAAATGAGCATTCAAAACTTTGGTATAAAAGAATAAGCCACAATTACAGGATTGATTCAGGTTAGTCTGAAGTAATAGACTTGCAGCCTTCAAACACCTGTTTGTGTATGTGTGTGTCTGAGAATGTACATACACATTTAAAAAGATGTCCCATTGGCTACTTCCAAATCTAAAATAATGTAACTTTCAAACCCACACCTCACCTATACACAGGATCACATTGCTTTATTTGCATGTGTTAGAGGAAAATTAGTGAGTCCTTGAGTTACTGTCAGATGTAAATGCCTTATTCTCCAATGTGTAAATAATGTATATATGGAACATCAGAGGTTAACTTATTCTTTGGACTTTAATGTATTCATAACTTACCACTCCCATTCCTAGCTCCACCCCTTGTATATATAAGGAGCCACCCTCACCATTCTCGTTGCTTCTACCTTGAATATTCAGTGAATATAGAATGCCTATCATAATTAAAAAAGAAATATATTTAAAGCTCTAACTCCTATTATCTTTATTGAGTCTGATCCTGAAAATATTGCAACAAGCTGGTAGCAGAGGATGGTTAATTGACTCAATAAGTAATTAAAAATGTCCAAGAAAGATAGGCCCAACACCAGGGCCTACAGCAAAGAAATAGAAACTGATCAAGAGATGATCAACGAATCCACCAATGCGATTTCGAGAGAATCCGAAGAATACACCACTGAAGAAGAAGAACTAATGAGTGAAAATAATGACCAGAAAGAAATCGAAATAGAAAATAACGAACTCAGGTCAGAGATATTAAAGATACTAAAAAGCCAAAAGAATGATGAAAGTCTCATCGCGGACCTCCAGGAGATGCTGAAGAACAGCGGAGCAGCGAGAGAGAAAAACGTCATTAAAGAAAAACCCAAAGATCAAAAAATCGTAAGTGAGATGACTACTGAGAAAATAGTTGTTAAAAAGAAAAGATGTGATCCCGCGCGAAATTTTGAATGGCAGCCATCTTGGTTTCAACGAACTTCAAAAGAGAATGGAGCAGAGCCAATCAAAACGCTCAGTTCAAAACTTCTGGCGCGAAAAACACTATCAGACGAAGAAAGTGAGAAAGAAGTCTCAAACTCTTCAGATGATCCAAAATCAGAAAGTGAAGACGATTTAACAAAATCTCAAGTAAAATCAGCAATGAAAACGCTTTTTGCTGCTTTTGGGCCAAGACTGAAAATTACCAAGACATCTACGAAGAAGCAAGAAATCAAACCGGCGACTCAAGACCTGCACGCTCCCATCCTGACTTCGAAAGCGACGACGCCCGAGCCCAGAGAGCCATGCCGATTTCGCCCTACACCACAGACAAAATCGAATACCAACGCACACAAAAAGAAGAAAAGAACCGTCACCACCACCAGAACCCCAAAAACCGAGCCAGAGACCGACTCATCTGAGGAGGAGCGGATCGAGAGAGCTGAAAGGGAGAGAACCTTCCACGACGCCACCAAAGAAGAAATGAGCAACGCGCATGTGCGAAACTACGTAGACGACCCAGAAGGACTTGAACTGGCCAGAGAACCGTGCAGACTCATTGCAAGCATCCCAATGCCGTTCTGTAATTTCCTGCACTTGAGAGATCACGGACTGCCCCAGGTTGTAAGTAATGGACAGAATAATGTAGGTAACTTACCCAGTGACTTCCCAAAACTTAGAATTGATGGCATTAATTTACAAGAGTGGTATCAACAGCTTCAGGTTATTTTCATGAAAGAAAATTTACTATTCTTTATAACTAGCCCTCCAAGAAGACCTTGGACTTTAAAAATAGATTGTTTACATCATTGAGCATTTTTCATAATAATATCTAGCGTGTCTCCTGCAATGTATCATAGCATCAAACCAAACCTAACTGTATCAGAAATAATTCAATGCATGTTTAATCTATTTCACAGCGATAGCGTAGCTACAACCACAAGAATGTCTAAGGATTTCTTTTCCTCTAGAGTAAAACCAGGGGTTTCTATAAGTGAGCATTTGATAAATCTAAACAAAATAAGAGCTGAGCTACAATTGAGGGGGGAAGTGATTTCAGATCAAACAATGAAAAGTGTTATTATCAATTCACTTGATCCATCATGGGATAGCTTTATGTCACACTTAGATACCATTAATTTGGGATATTTATCCATAGAAAGTCTATCTAACAAATTGATAGCAGAAGACAATTCAAGAAAAAATCGATCCAGTAACCAAACAGACCACAAACCTTTTAGGAAAGTAGTCTTTCAAGATAAACATAATGAGGCCTTTAGATGCTACAATTGTGGATCCAGGGAACATAGTAGAAGAGACTGTCCCAAAGTCTCAAGAGAGAGACATAGGCCAGAATATAGGAGCAAATATAATTACAGACAATCTTCCACAGATAGACACAAATATAGAAGTCCACCAAATTACAAAGAAGGTAGAGGGGGTAGAGTAAATTCAAAAGAGAGGAAATCTGGGTCACTGAATGGGCTAAATAAACAAGACAGCACCAGAACACAGCAGGATGAGAATAACAATTGGCTTATTGATTCTGGTGCAACAAATCACACCACCAACAACAAAAGTATATTATCTTCATTTATAGAAGATAAGTTTGTGATAAAGGTAGCTAATCAAGAAAAGGTTCAAGTACTAGGCAAAGGAAATGTGACCTTGCCTGGTCTAGGGAAAATAGAGGGGGTATTATTAATCCCAGAAATACCTCACAACATACTAAGTGCCATAAAATTAAGCAGAGAATCTGATATCAATATAGTTTTCTCAAAGGGGAAAGCAACTATAGAAAAGAACAAAACAAATGTAGGTACTGTAATGATAAAAGGAGGTCTACCCTATCTGATAACTAAAGAAAGATGTTTACATAACATTGATTCAAATATGGAAGATTGTATTGAAGCAGATGATGAAAATGTCAGTAACAGTGACAATGATGAGTGTAGAATAACTCATGATCACAAAAATACATACAAAGAAAAGAAACCAAAAATAGGTAAACCAATTCATGATGAGTGTGCTCACATCTTACACAGGAAGTTAGGACATGCAAGCTTTCCTGTAGTACAAAAAATGACTGAACACGCAGAAGGTGTCAAAATAAAAAATTGTGAAAATTATTTGGAATGCTCAGTATGTAAATCCACCAAACTAAAAACCAGTCCCAGACCAAAAAAATCTAACAGATCAACTAACAATATTTTTGATTTGGTACATATGGACTTAGTTGGTCCATTAAGTCCCTCAATTACCTATAGAAAACGTTACTTCCTAACAATAGTGGATGACTACAGCCGATATGGTTTTGTTTACACATTAAAGCACAAGGATGAAACATTTCAGAAATTTAAGGAATTCTACAAACGTATAGAAACACAACATAATATCAGAATAAAGCAAATTATGACAGATAGGGGATGTGAGTTCATGTCTAAAGAATTCTCCCAATGGTTAAAGGATAGAGGAATGTTACATTTCACGTCCAATCCTTTTTCTGCATTTCAAAATGGAGTTGCAGAGAGGAAAAATTCCACACTACAAACCATGATTAGGTGCACATTAGAGGATGCTGGTTTAGGCAAACAATTTTGGTCAGAGGCATTACATTACTCGAATTACACTCAAAATAGAACCTGGTCCAGTATTGTGAATAAGACACCATATGAGGTGATGTACAATAGAAAACCTAAATTATCACACATGCACATATTTGGAGTCACTGCAGACGTACACATACCTAAACAATTGAGGAGAAAGGGAGAAAACGTATCCAGGAGATTAAGATTCATGGGATACGAAACTGGAACCAAAGGGTACAGATTTATTGATAGTAATAACAAATTTATAGTATCCAGAACAGCTGTGTTCCATGAACAGGCCAATTGGTCAAAATTGCACCTTAATGAAATATTTCCTAATAAATGTAAAGATACGATATCTTGCGAGGAAGGAACAACAGAAAATCAAAATATTAACAAAAGTAAGAACAAAACCAAAACTTGGACTAATAGTCAGCATAAAATAAAGACAGACACATTAACAAAAAAGGAAGCTAGATATTTGCATGATAACCATAGCAAGCCTGAAAGAACTATTAGAAACAATAGAAACCAAATACCAAATAAATACAAAGATTACATAATGCATATGAATGGAGAACAAATAACACCTAATACATATGAAGAAGTATTGAAACTTCCACATGAAGAAAGAGAAAAATGGGAACTAGCTATGGAAAAAGAGATGGAAAGTTTACAAGGATTAAATGTATTCACACCTGCGATCGCACCTAAGGATAAAACAATTATAGGTACCAGGTGGATTTATAAAATTAAGAACTTAGAAGGAGGCAATACCTTATACAAGGCTAGACTAGTTGCACAAGGCTATGCACAAAAATATCCAGAAGACTATACTGATACATATTCACCCACAGTGAGAACAGAGAGTGTCAAAACAGCCCTTGTAGTAGCATCTGCACTCAATCTGGACGTATTCCAATATGACATACAGACCGCATACTTACATGCAAAATTAGATAAGGAAATATATGTAAGAGCACCACACAGTCAATACACTAATAAGAACGAAATTTGGTTATTAAATAAGAGTCTGTACGGATTAAAGCAATCCGGCAAAAGATGGTACGATTGCTTGGTAAAAGTACTTAAGACCATGGATTTCAACGCCACCACTGCTGATAATTGTTTCTTTGTAAAAAAGAGTAATGATCATATTGAATTTGTATTAATTTACGTGGACGATATTTTATACATTGGAAAGCATAAAGAGAGCAGGGAAATCTTTGTAAATAAGTTAAATGAACACTTCTCACTGAAATCTCTGGGTAAAGTGAATAAATACCTTGGTGTGCAAATTAACAAAACTAAAAGGGGATTCAAACTTACACAGAAAGATAAAATCATCGAACTCCTAAACAAATGTAACTTAAATAATGCCAAAACCTGTGACACCCCTATGCAAACTGATTTTCTTAGAAACACTGATGAATCTTCCCCTGAGTTTAAAGACAACACATTTTACAGATCAGTTATAGGTTCACTCCTTTATATATCTAATTGGACTAGGCCAGATATTGCATTACCTCTCAATCTATTGTCAAGATATGTTAGTAAACCAACCTTGTATCATTGGGAAGCTGTCAAAAGAATTCTAAGATATCTGAAGGGTACATTAGATTTTTGTTTAATGTTGGAACCCAATAATGACAGAGAACCAAAAATTACTTGTTATGCTGATGCAGATTGGGCTGGTGATACATCATGCAGAAAGAGTACTTCTGGTTATGTTTTTCTATTGAATGATTGTCCAGTTTACTGGTATACTGGTAAACAAGAACTAGTAGCCACGTCTACTACAGAAGCGGAATATGTTTGTTTGTCCAAAGCTGCAAATAACCTTGTATGGTTCAATGATCTGATCACTGATGTTTGGAAGAAACCCACCTTACCATTTATTATGCATGAAGACAATAAAGCGGCCATTGAAATATCCAGATCCGATGCAATTGGACAAAGGTCCAGGCATATTGATATAAAGTTTAAGCATGTGAGACAACTGTCTCAAGACGGATTCATTAAAGCAATACATTGCGATACTTCTGAACAATTAGCTGACATATTAACAAAACCCTTACCTTCTAAACAACACAAATATTTAACTTCTAAATTATATGTATTATATTGTCCTGAATCAGAATGTAATTGGTGTTGTGTAACGAACCGGCATTTAGAGGGGGATTTGTCAGATGTAAATGCCTTATTCTCCAATGTGTAAATAATGTATATATGGAACATCAGAGGTTAACTTATTCTTTGGACTTTAATGTATTCATAACTTACCACTCCCATTCCTAGCTCCACCCCTTGTATATATAAGGAGCCACCCTCACCATTCTCGTTGCTTCTACCTTGAATATTCAGTGAATATAGAATGCCTATCATAATTAAAAAAGAAATATATTTAAAGCTCTAACTCCTATTATCTTTATTGAGTCTGATCCTGAAAATATTGCAACAGTTACAACTACAATTGCGTTCAAGTGAAACATGTCAAGTGAGTTTTGCCCTGTTTTACAAGTTTTCTTACCACGGTTAAGAGCATCTTTGCAATTGTTTAGTAACATGGTTGTTAAGTGAATCTGGCTTCCCCATTGACTTTGTTTATCAGAAGGCCCCTAAAGGGGATCACATGACCCTAGGATACTGCAACCACCACAAATATGAACCAGTCACCAAGCATCTGAATTTTGATCATGACCCTGGGGATACTTCAACGGTGATAAGTAGGAAAAAACGACCATAAGTCACATTTTGCAGCACCGCAAAATTTGAACAGGCACTAAGTGAACTGTTGTAAATCGAGGACTAGCTGTATACGCCCCCAAAGCGAACGATCCCATAATCAATTTGTAATGAAGGTACCAGGGAACTCTGCGGATTGCAAAAACTGCTCAAATCAGGACAACTGCCATGGCGGGAAAAATCTGCCAGCCCAACCGTTTCCAGCCCGCGCGCGTGAATCTAACCACGAGCATTTGTAAATTACGTTTTAACATAATCAAACCCAATGTGACGACCACGCCTCTTTCCACGCTCGGGATCGCTTCGGGAACCAATCCAACGGAGCGGGCTGCGTTTCGCCCCACCCCCGACCTCATTTTTTTTTTTTTAAGCGGAGCGCATGCGTCGCTTTAGGGTAATACGGTTGGGTGGAGCTGCGTATCGCTCACCATAGAGCTAGGAAAAGTCTACTTTCTTCGGTGTTATTGTTTCTATGGGTCTCACCAGAACCGGATTGGGGAGGTGGGGGGGAAGGAAGGCCTGTCTTTGCACTGCGCATGCGCCCCTAGCAGAGGGCTGTTTAAACAGTAGAGTGGAGTTCGTTGAAACCGTTTGGTTAGAATGGACCTTAGCAACGGCCGGCCCGTTTTAGCAGGTACAGGCGTGAGGCGGGCGCGGTAAAGGAAACCCGTTGCCGGGTTTGGAAAAAGAAAGCGAAGGGGGCGGGGAATGTGGGAAGGAAAGACTATTTCTTAGCTGTGCGTGGTTGGAGAAATATTTGGGGGGGGGGGCGTTAAAGAGGTAAAAGGGGAGCCTAAAGTATGAAGAGTTGACAGTTTATAACACAGTGGGATTTAGTGGTGCACATCTTCATCTTTCCTCAGTTGGGTTTTCACGTGCGTTGAGTCCGCATTTCATCCCAGCATCTCCGACATGGCTGTGGGCCACGCTGACTAGGAAGTCGCAGTTATTGGAGGGGGACCCTAATATGCAGGATAATTATTGATATGTCGAGCTTCTTAACCGCCCATGTCTCTCATAGAGGGGCTCTGTGGTCGTTGTACAATTTAATCAGTACAATAAAACATGAAAAACAGAATAGTTTAGGATTATTATTTTTAAATGACAAGTATAGTACAATAATATACATACGCAAAATTGCAAAAAATAATCTCATCCTTCCTCTCCCCCGACCTCAAGTGGGTATCAAATATGCTAATGTAGCACCAAGTAGGTTTTTTTTTTTTTTTACTGCTTTCCTAAATGCACCAAGGACTTCATCCTGGGTAAGAAATGTACAATGGTAGACTTGAGCTATAATCTGAGATGCCTCCTTGCTTCTCTAGGGCCACAGGTTAGTGAGGTTTCCTCCCTGGAATGCAATTTTTTTTTTTTAAAAAAATATTCTTTATCCCTCATTTAAAAATTCTTATGGGTTGTAAAACTACAAATTGGTGTGGAAGATTGTAGGCATTTGGTGGGGAAAAAAAGAGTGCTTGTGTCCTTTTCTTGACTGCTCTTAAAGCAATAATAATCTTTGATATTGGAGTTGGAGCAATGTTTGTGTCCACCAATTCTATTTTTTCCCCTTAACATTAAGGGCAGAATGACAGTCCAGGCCCCCCCAGACAGCCTCATCTGCAGGCAATCAATTTAAAATCCAAATACAGGAGAGCCTTCGCCATTTGGATGTCAAAAATGTGGAGGTTGTTTCTTAAACATGATTTCAACAGACAAAAATGCAGTATTTAACAAAAACTTTGAAAACTACATTATCATCAATCCAATTTAGTCTTTATGAAAATGGTTTTGGAATAACTGCTTGGTGTATAATAGAAAATAATTCTGTAATATTATTATTTGGGTTAAAATTACATTGAATTTAACATGCCTCACCTTTGGTTTTGATGCTTATGAGAAAATGAAGTTATGCCATTCAAATAGTTAAAGATTTGATCCAAAAAATGGAAGTCCCAAGAAAATATTGATCTGTTAACATTTCTTTCATAATTGCTGTGTAGATGTTGTAGCATATGTTGAAGTATGGTCATCCAGCAGAACAGAAAACTACTCAAAAGCCTTTACTCAACAGCTCCTTGATATGGGAGCAAAAGTAAGTAACTAAACTGGTGGTTATACAAATACTAGTCCATAGTTTTATTTAACCTTTTTTTTAATAAAGTACAGTATGCATAAATATAGGGCATGATTTCAGAAATTCAATCTGTAAATTGCTCTAAACTTAATCCAAGCAAATTATGTTGTAGCTGAATGTGTGAGTGAATAGGTCATTTCAATTCTGTTGATATGAAGGATATAAATAGGCAGAACCTGAAATGATTTCTGAATTGCTTAACGCATTGTAAGCCGCCCTGAGTCTCCGGAGAAGGGCGGCATATAAATCAAATTAAAAATAAAATAAAATAAAATTCACCAGTGCCTTCTCCAGTCTCTGTATAGATGAAGGAGCCAAAATAGTTGCTCACCAACAGGCAAAATCTTTCAGTGGTTGTAGAGAAAATAGGCAGTTTCTACATTAACAGAAATGAAGGTCTTTTTTAATGGAACCCAAATCGGGTAACTTTAAAAGCTATAGAAAGTTTAAAACTGATGTTTCACTTCAGTAAACTTGCCTTTCAAAACTCCTTTGGAAAGGAACTTCATCACTTGTTTTACCTGCTTGCTTTTGTGGTGTTCCACCACCTCCTAGATACTGGAGATATAAGAAAGCAAATAGTTTCCTTATTTTTGTTGCTGCTGATTTATGATACCTTGCTTGTTAAAAAATTCTTAAAATTCTAAGGTTGCACACTATTCAAAGATCTGGGATAGCTTAATCTTTAATTTGATTTCACAATGTCTCCATGGAAATCTTTGACTTACATCCTGCTCCAAACTGCAACTAAGGCTAAGTAATTTCACATTCCTTTTTTATATATTATCTGTTTCTTTTTTTTTAATTCCAACTACTTTTTATATACTTTGCATAAGATATATATTGTACATTCACCATGGCTATTCTTTATCAGGTAAGCTACAGCATTCAAATCTCAAAGGAATAAGAAGTAGTAAAAAAGTAGGAGATAATAGAAAATTAAAGCCAATTAAATTTAGTTAATGATCACACCATTCACTATATCAGGAGTCCCCAACCACCGGACTGCAGCCTACTACCAAGGCACAGCCCGTTCGGAACCAGGCCACGCAAGCGGTGGGCACGCATGGGCACCCAGCTTCATTTGTATGTGCGGCAGGCACAACTGTGCGAAGCTCTATATCATATTTCTGAGTCACCCCTACAATTTATCACAATCAGACCCAGATATATAGATCTCAGCCAAACTGTTTTTATCTAGATAAAAGGCTGTGATACATGAACTGTAATTTGCAGTTTAATGAATATTCAGGAATAAAATATATCTCCTAATTTATCAACTGTTATTATTTTTTTTATTAGTCCAATTTATATGCCGCCCTTCTCCATAGACTCAGTGCGGCTTACAATGCATTATAGCAATAGCCTGCATACTTTATGTATATACCTGCTTATTAGGGCTTTCGGACCCCCTAAGCAGTGTTATTCTATACAAAGCTGGCTTACTGCCCCCACAATCCAGGTCGTCAATTTACCTACCTCGAAAGGATGGAAGGCTGAGTCAACCTTGAGCCTGGTGAGATTTGAACTCTCACTAATTGCAGGCAGATGGCAGCTAAGTACTAGCACTTAACAGCACTTAGTCCACTGCACCACTAGAGCTAGGTTTATCACAGATCTGGAAACCCTAGGCATGATCCCTTCTAATCTCAAATGATTCTGTACTGTAAGTATTCTAAAAATAATAAACTTTTTTCTCTTTATTAGATACAGAGCAAATTCCCTGCTTACCTACCAAAAGCACAAAACAACGTGTGACTTTTCAATAGAAAGGAAGAATCTTAAAATATTTTTAGAAACCATTTATATAGATAACATTTTAAAATGCTTCATTCTTTTGTTTTGTAGATTTCTAAGACTTTGAATAAACAAGTTACTCATGTGATCTTTAAAGATGGATTCCTGTCTACTTGGAATAGAGCTCAAAAAGCTGGAATTAAACTAGTGTCAGTACTTTGGGTAGAAAAGTAAGTATTGATACTTAGAAATATACCAGAGGAGAAAATATTACAAAATAATAGTACAATCAATGTAGATTTCAAATATCCCCATTATATAATAATGTTATAACTGAATAGAATGCAAGGTGTAACTATTGGCTACAAATCTGAATTGTTTCAAATGGACTTGCATTGTAGAGGGCATGTTATTTATTTATTTTATTTATTTATTTATTAAATTTATATCCCGCCCTTCTCCCTGAAGGGATTCAGGGTGGTGAACAGCCGAGAATTAAAATAACATACAATATAAAAGTTAAAATAATTAAAAATAAATTAAATTAAACAGCCGCCCCAATTTAAAACCCCTAGCGATACAATTAAAAAACTAACCCATAAAACCTATTCAGGACAGGCCGGCTTGCTGAAATAAAAACGTCTTCAGGGCCTTACGGAAAGTGCGGAGATCCGGAATCAGCTGTATTCCGGGAGGTAGCTCGTTCTAGAGGGCGGGTTAGGTCATTAGTTGTGTGTATGCTTGTTCTAAATTCAGTCTAGCTTCAATCATCTTGAAGCACTGAATAAAAAACTGCCACAGATCTTGAAGAATTGCTAACTTAGAATAAATAGACAATGCTAAAAATGAATAAAGCAATGATCTGAATTACTGAAGGACCTTCAATAAATATAACTTGCTGCCAATTGAGAAGTTATAATAGAATTGATGTTAATTACAAATATGTTTTAAATATAGCACTTAAATTCCTAATCTTCCAAGAAAATACTAGGCTATTGTAGGCATAGTTAAAAAGATGAATTTCCATAATATTTTTATTAACGTTCTTAAATTGCATTACAGTGATCCAGACATTAGCTTAACTTTCCATTTGTTTGATTGATGAGAGTTCCCATACTAGTTACACACTGTAGTCAGTGATTTTTTTGTGTGCATCACATACCCTATTGATAAAGACATAATACCTAAACCAAGGTTAACAAACGAAAAACCTTCAGTTTAGAATTACCATAAATACTGTTTAGAATTATGATTTGAAACTATTATGCTTAAAATCCTGAGACTCATATTTTTGTGGCATATGAGCTTTCATCTTAACTAGTAAAGTATATCAAATTTCTTGTGTAGTATTGCCATATACTGTTTGCATCTGTAAGATCACTAGATGTCACTAAAATCCCATTGCTAGTGTCTTCGAATGTTTTTTTTTGCAATGTCATGTTTTCATAGCTTTACAGGTAGCCCTTGCTTGCAAATGGCAATTGGGACTATAAACTCTGTTACTAAGCCACATGGTTATAAGGCGTAGACACATGACTGCAGTCCCAGTTGCCATTATTAGGTGAATCCCACATGGTCACAGCGTCTTTGTGGTTGCGAGGTCACCATTTCCTGCTGGCTCCTGCTATTTGATTTTGTTTATCAAATCTAGAAGTGAAAATTGCAAATGGCAATCACAGGATGGTCCCCATTGTGTTCATAAATTGAGGATTAACTATATTTTCCTGTGAAAGAAATAAGACTGTATTTAGAAGTACACCAGATCAAGAAATAACATATCAAAAGATGGGAAAGAATATTATGACAGTAGACAAGACTTTGAATTTGCATTCTGAGCCCTTTTTTATTTTTTTACTTAGTGGTTTGTATCTCTTCTTGATATGACAGAGTAACATTTGTACATTTCTTTCTTTTACTCTGATTTCCTGTTTCCAGGAAATCCTGTTTCCTGATTTCCTGCTTCCTCTTTGCTGCTTCTCTTAAGTAGACAAAATGAAGTGTTGCAATATTCATTAGAGTTGAGCAGCTTGTGGCAAATATTACAAACTAACAATTATTAATTTAAAATAAAATGAGAAATATTGTTAAAAAAATTATCTTTATAAATACCATTGAATACTGTTATTTTGGTAAGTAACCTAAATTATGTGTAATAAATGTTGTAAAATGTGTTTGTATTTGTAAACAGTATAAAGTACTGTAGTGCTCTCTCTCTCCCTCCTCCCCCCCCCTCTCTCTCTCTGTCACACACACACACACACACACACCAGCAGATTGAAGAGAGAGATTGGAGAAGAAAAGATTTCAAGAGAATAAACTGTTTCCTCTTCTACACATTGGAAGCAATGTGATCAGGCCAAAAGCAAAAAAGGGCCAGGCAAAGGACAGAAACTGCTTGCTTTTTTTCTCACTTCTTCCCCCCTCCTTTCCTCTCCCCATAAATACAGAGATTGGAGAGAAAGAGATTTCAAGAGAATACTTTAAACTGTGTAGCTCCCAGCTGCCAGGACGATTGCATGTTTTCGATGTGTAGAAGAGGAAACAGTTTACTTTCTTGCAATCACAGTGAGAAAACACATTTAATTAATAAATAAAATCCCTTACTTTGCAATATCTCTGCTATTTAGGGGGAGAAAAAAACATAGGTCAGGCACAGGACTATGCATAGTGACTGTAATGGTGTTCATGTGACTGAGAGACACTAAAGGTTGTAAATGGTCCATAAAGTTATTTTTCAGCACTGTCATAACTTCAAACAGTCATTGAATGAATAGTCAGTAAGTGAGGAGTTGTATTGTTTCAGATTTCTGGAATTGAGACATACATTTTTCTTGAAAAATACTGTTCTGCATTAACACAGTAAAAATCAATACTTCAGCAAATATTCAGATGCTATTTATATCCAATGTGTTCTATAGAATTATTTTTAAGTGTCACTTTATGTTTTGAAGTTTTACACTTATATACTACATAGTCTGACTAGATGTCCTATAAGTCACCCATACATTACGTTAAGTGTTATAAGCAGGCTATGGATCCTTGGGAAAGATTATGGAAAGCAAAAAAACAAACAAATCATCTCTTTGGCAGTTATTTTGTCTTGTTCTCTGTTACTGACTATAATGTTCAGATTTCAAATTTGTCGTGGCTGATTTGATTAGATCAAGCATGACAGAGGATTGGAACTTCTTGGCATGCTTATAAATATGAATTTACAGTTATGCCTGGCAGCAAGTGGTTGCTGTAGGCAACTGGGTGATTTTATGTTTTTGAGTTTTTAGAATTGAGGTACTGAGCCAGAAAATTGTCAACTCAAGGAATGGTTTGTCCTATGTTATCTACAACTGAAATTTTGATACATTCATGGGTGGGATCATAGAGAAGCAAAGGCCTTCATTTCTCACAGTGTAAGGCAGAGTCACTGACCTGATTGACATTTTAAGTCCTGCTATAAAGGCTTGGTCTTAGGCTCCGTCTGCCAGCAAAACTGAGGAATGTGACCTCTGCCTTTACATATATTTTTTTTCTATCTAATGTGTAGCCTGCTAGCTCTTTTACAATCGTGTGCTCTATCTTCACCCATCTCAATATGAATATAACATGGCATTTGTAATGTGACTTTTACAAGCAAACAAGTGGTTTATTTGTTGACCTGGATTTTCTGGGCAAGCTTTGCTTCTCTGGGATCTTGGCAAGATAAAAATAAGGTAAAGATAAATACACATGGTATGAAATTGAGCATAATTTGTTAGAAATATTAAAGGTTTCAATCACTTAGAACCATTAATAATAATAGTAAATCTGTCTAATACAAAACCAAATGTGTATTCTTGATACTTTCTCAGATGCCGAGAAGTTGGAATACATATTGACGAGTCATTATATCCTGCAATAAATACTAATGAAGGGTTACCTCCATTTATTAAAAAGGTCTGTATATGCATAGTGACTTTCTATTATTTAAAATGCAGTCTTTAATTTTATTTCACATTGCTCTTAATTAAAAGCCTTCTGTGACTGAAAGATTAAAACTGGCTAAGTATTATCTCAGATCCCAATGTATTGATCTAAGACATAGAGTTCAAAAAAGACTAAAATAATTCGTTGTTTTAACCTGAGATGATTTTCTAGTAAAAATTTAATTTGATAAAATCTGTAAGGAGCTATTGGTTGCCATAATCCCACTCAATCTTTGTTTTAGCACCAGATTTTCTTTTGAAAATGTATTGCATCATGTGGAGATATTTCAATACAAATACTATAGTGATGTGTGAAAAGTATTTTTATTTTTGTAGAATTGGTGCAGTAAGTATAAGTCTAGTATTTCATATAAAAGTATTATTTCAAAGCTTACAAATGAATGTAATGACTCTTTATTTTGTAGCACAAATGCATGCAGCCCAAAGATTTATTTGAGAAAACTCCAGAAAAAGATCGTAGATTACAAAAAAAAATGGAAACTATGGTTAAAGAATTAGAAATGCAAAGAGCAGCAACAGGCAAGTATTTACACTGTTAAATCTCTTAGCCTTTGCACTGAAAAATATTGTTATCATATGGTGCCACTCAGTGGTGGGTTCCTCCTGGTTCGGCAGTTCCGCCGAGTCGGTAGGGTGAAGATATGACGTCACCGAACCAATTTTGTTTCCCCCCCCCCCGCCTCCCCTGCATTATTCTTACCTTTTATTTGGCCCCACCCCCAATCTATTGCTGCCTCCTGAGTCCCAGTTGATCGGCTAGAGGGAAAAAAACTGTTTAAACTCTTGCCTTGGGGCTTCAAAGGGCCGCCCTACAGCTGATCAGTGTTAAAAGAAAACAAATGAGTAGACTGGTGCCTGCAAAAATAAATGAGTAGACCGGTGTCTGCAAAAATAAATAAGTAGACCGGTGCCTACAAAAATAAATGGGTAGACCAATGCCTGCAAAAATAAATGAGTAGACCAGTGCCTGCAAAAATAAATGGGTAGACCAGTGCCTGCAAAAACAAATGGGTAGACCGGTACAGCTCTGCAAGCAGTTGAAAGCCTGGTAGATCAGTACCTCTGCTAAATCCTAAAGAATTGTCACATGACCATCAAGCCATGCCCATAAAATAAGCCACGCCCACAGAACCTGTAGTAAAAAAATTTAGAACCCACCCCTGGTGACACTTGAGCATAATTTGTATAGTAGCTAATGTTAAAATATGGACGATATGGCTGTAAAATACATAGGAAATATAAAACATGGAAACGAGGTATTCTTGAGCCTTCTTTCTTACCTCCAGCTACTGAAATATTTTACGGGATGGAGGAGAAAGATTGACACAAAGAAAGCATACTTCATCTTTTCTTTTCTCACCAGTTCCCAAGTCTCTCTTCTCATCATTGTAATCCTTGGTTTAAAACTGCAGTTGGGACTGGATTATGGTTGTAAATTGAGGCACCCACATGATTGCCTGATTTTACAACATTATTTGCAGCAAATCACTGTGATCATTATGCAAATTTACAGTCATTGATGCTGCGGGTTGTAAGTGCAAATTCATTCTTCTAAATAGGCATTGTTTGCCAGAAGCAAAAACTGGCAAAAACTGTCGCAAATTATGGTTGCATTACCATGGGACACTGCAACCAATAGTAAAGATGAGCTAGTTATCACATGTCTGCAAGGGGATGGCATAACATTTTATGACAACCAGAAGTACTTTACAGGCCTGTCGTAATTTAAAATGGTTTTTAAGTGACCAGTCATAAGTCAAGAACTGCCTGTATCTTGCCTTAGCCTAGAGGAGAGATCAAGGATCAGACAATGTGCTGACTCTTTTCCATATTCCTTTGGGGAAGAAGTTGTTCAGTTGTACTTAGATACAGTAACAACATTAATTTTTTATACTTTTTGCAGACAGAAGAAAGGTTATATATAACTATCTAGAACATTAGCTTTGAATGGAAAAAGTGATGTTTAATACAATCTCCAAATTTGCCCTGCAAATTTAAGAGCCCACAATTTAGCTCTAAACCTTTTCATAACATGGATTGCTGTGCGATATTGCCAATCAAATAACGTATTGAAATTTTTTTTTGTTTCTTAATTTTTTTAAGTGTTATGCTAATCTGGAAGCAATCTATATATAAAGTAAGTTTCCATTCTGCAGATTCTGTGAATCATATTAATATTCCCTCTAATTCCAAATATTGGGCAACTGATGCCAATAATAAATATAGTACACAGTTACTATGAAAAATAAAAAAGAAGACTGTGTTTGCAGAAGTACTAACCAGTTTTTTTAATAAAACTAGAACAATATTTTTGAAAAAATAAGAGCATCTGGTTGAACATGCCTTTGTGATAGACTGTTGAACTACAATAAATTAGGAATTTATAAGGGTCCATTACAGGGAAAAGAATAGATTATTCTATCTAGTTGGTTAGAATTAACCAAAAGTTTTATTATTGGAAGATCCTTGTATGTTGCAGCATTTTAATGTAGATCTCTTTTTTACATTTTTAAACTTTTACTTTTTTAAACTTTCAGAATGTTACAATAATGTTCAATACATTATTGTAACAATAATATAATAAGCAATACAATAACAATACAATAAGCTCCAAATGTTACCTTTTCAAAATATTGTATATATTCTTTCTTCTTAAATGTAAAATTCTATTGATGATTTGCCATTTTTTAGAAACAGACATACCAGTTTTATTATTTGAAGAAGATGGTTCACTTGTGTACAGCCCAGCAAGTAAAATAAAGTATCAGTGCAGTGTAATGGAGAGAAGAATAAAGGACATGAAGGAGAAAAGAGAAAATGTTTCCCCTACTGGTATGATGATAAATGTTGCTTTTCATTTGTAGGATGCAGAATTACATTTTCTTTCTTTTTTAAAAATATTTTTTATTAAACAGTTTTTTTAAAAAAAACAAACAAAAACAGATATTTACATCATCTTTTCAACATCTTCGCATCAGTAATCCATATTTATACATTTTCTCTTTCTTATCTTAATATATCTTTTATACATATATTTCTAGTATATCATATATATACCATTATAATATATTCTATTTCTATTAGAAATAAAACTGTTGAAAAGCTTCTATATAAAATTGTAGTGGGGGAATGCTGGAATTCTATAAATTTTAGACAGTTAAATGGGAAGATACTGATATTTTGAAGAATGGAATTTAAAGGAATACTATAAATGTATTCACGCAGACATTACTCTATGAAAAAGTCATAAGTGCTGCAAAAGCATTAGAAAATGGTAACACTAGAAGAAAATAGGAAAATAGAGAAGTATTAAAATAGGGATGTGGTTTGTTCATGGAGTAATTGTATTTTTTTTAAAAAGTATAGAAAGGCTAAATTCGGTATCTTGACAATTAGAAGAATGTTATTGCTTTTTTATATCAGAGGTATCATGTATGTTTACTATAAATGGGGGAGGTGTCTGCACTTTTCATCTGTGAAAATGTCTTCAAAGGAAATGTATATTGTTTTACATTAAAATATATTCATATTGTTAATCTTAAAATTTTTGGAATAGGTTTGAAAATAAATGCTTTATTTCTGAGAAATATTTTTTATTTATTTCTGTGATAACTTGAACAATACAATCTTTGGGATGGAAAAGCTTTTTTCAAGATTTTGGACATATTTGAATTTATTGGCCTGAAATCAGAATTTATCAAGCTAACAAATGAATAAATATTTAAAAAACTCTGACAACTTTGATTAGAGGAGACGTATCATTCAGATGACATATTAAGCTGAAGACTTACTGTTTCATTTGTGTGGTAGTTTTCTAGCTATAGCACGCTGAGCTGTTAACATGGCTTATTATGATGGCTTAATGCAATCCTCAGAATTTATAGATTTTTAATACCAAAGCATCCAAAATATTAAAAGCACTGTAATGAAATGTTGTAAGAACATCTATTGAATATGCAACTACATATTAATATTGGCCTTAAATGTCTTTAGGAATTGCTTACTCAACATAAATCTAATAACTCACATTTTAGCTTCACAGTTATCTCAGATGTCTGACACTGACCCTGCTGTTGTGTCTACAATCTCAACTTCAGCATTGACTTCAGGTAAAAAAAAAAAAAAAACCTTTGGAAATAAAATGTAAATGTTCTCATTCAAAAATATCCAGCAGTTATGTGTAATTGATAATACTGTAAATAAATATTTTGAATGACCCTATAGTGCTCTCTTAACAGATAAGGAATTATGGGATATTTTATTGAACAAAGATGCTGCTGTAAACAGTGTTAGTTTTCCTAGTATGTTTTATTGTTTTGATATTGCTAGTATTGTTATTAAAAAGAGCACTACTAATACAGTAATTATTAGAATATGGACATGTATTTTTAGCTCTGTGTTTGAACTCTTGGGATCACGTACTTTTTATTGCTGATCTAGAATTGATGTCTTGGCAATCACTTCTTGACTTAAATCTTGATATCATTTAGACATATAGGACAGAACACTCTCCCTATTTCTCTTCATGGTGCGGAATGATTACATTCACATTCTTCAGTTAACTAAAGCTTCCTGTTTTATCCAAACATGGAAACTGATTGCCCAGTTTGGAGGAACACCAAAAAAAGATGGACGACATTGACGGCAGGATTAGACAAAAGAAAGCAGTTCTCATGAACTGTCAAGGAGATTTATTTGATATGTGTCTTATTTCTGCCCAATGAGTTTTGGAACTATGTTTCTTCCCTAGGGCAATCTGCAAATATATAAAAACATTTAAATATGCTATTTACAAACATTTAAAGATATTTTAAAACAGAATGATTTTAAAATATCGAAATACCAAGGAAAACATCCAAATTTAATGAAAGAATCTACAGTAGTGTGATAACTAAGCTAATATTCTTTTCTATACATATGCATAGTTTAGTGATTGGCAAATAATTATTTGGCTTTTCAGGTTCCTTCTCTCCTGTCTTCAAGGTTGAAGGAAGGAAAATTGAAGTTTCTGTTCTGAAGTCACCACTATTTGTATGCATGAACCTAAACAAATTACTTATGGTATATGCATAAGCCAGTTTCAAAGCCCTTAATAATTCTTTGTCTCATTAACATATTGTTAACATTATGTAATCAGAGGCAATCAGAACCCAAGACTACTTGAAACTGGAAGTTTACTCTGATTCAGATAACAAAATTTAGTATTAGTAAATTTAGTATGGGGTCATGTAAACAAGAAAACAATTGGTGGAACTGTCCCATTTTTTATTTATAATTTTTTGTTGTTCTATTTTTATTCAAAAAAAATTTAAATACAAAACTTACCTCCAAATTAAAAAGAAACAAATAAAAAACAAAGGAAGGCATTTAAAAAGTATATTAAAAGCTTAACATATACACATATTATCCCCTCTAATTGAATACTGATTAATGTATTACAACATTAGTTTTCCACCTCTTGTGAAACAGATCAATTTTTAAAAAACTGCTATATCTATTTGCAGTTTATTAATCTGTCATCTATATATTCTAAATAGTTAACAAGAACAATAATAATAGAAAAAGGCAAGATTAATCTTTCAAAACCTTCTGTTAACAAACTTATTGTAATCAACTTCTAGAAAATTTACCACGGCATCTTATCTATACCAAATCATCAGAAGAATTAACAGTAATTCGTCCTGGATCAAATATCCTCGTTTGTTCTTAATACCATCTCTTAAAAATTGTTGTTAGGTTAAATGTAATCCAATCTCCAAAATTAGTCGATCTTCCCAAAAAAGTCCAGATGAAATTTTTTCCAATGAAATGTGTCCCCAACCTCCTCCTCCTTAGGGAAAACCAATTTATCACTTCTCCACTCAGTCAATTTTCTGCTGTTGTAAAAGAATGCAGGCTTGAACTTCAGGGAGGCATCTGCAATTGACTCAATTAGTTCTAAGTCTGTAAAGTCCATATTTCTTTCCACCATATCTGCTGTTTTCAGATCACATTCCTTTTGTGAATCTAATTTATGTAGAGCTACATGCATCTGAATATTTTCCGCAGCCATTGTCATTTCATCAAACTTTTTTTAAAAAAATTCAGATAGGGATTTGCCCAGAGGAAGATGAATGACTGGTGACTTTCCAACTGCTCCCATAGGAAACTGGAATCTTTTTTATTTATTTATTTATTATTTCAATTTGTATACCGCCCTACTCCCGAAGGACTCAGGGCGGTGAACAGCCATAGAATAAAACATATAAATACAAAATTTAAAATAAAGTAAAACGAATTAAATAATTTGGCTGAAAATTTAAAACCCCAATAATTTAAAACCAAATTTAAAATTTCCATTTAAAAAAGGGAAAAACTTAGGTCAGGCCAGCTTGATGAAATAAGAACGTCTTGAGCGCGCGACGGAAGGTACGCAGATCCGGGATCCTCGGTATCTCCGGGGGGAGCTCGTTCCAGATAGTAGGTGCAGATAGTAAAGATTCCAGATAGTAAAGATTCCCTTTCCCAGGTGGGTCCACAACCATCCAAAAGCCATCTTGGGTTATTCCTAAATGCTCCCATTCGAATCCAGGAAGCAGCATTGCAAAAGAACCAGCTTTGATAGCAAAATCAATAAATCATTGGCCGGAAAAAGAAAAGTTCCTACCATTCAGCAGCCATCTTGGGGAGGAGTCCCAGCTATCCCATTTTTTCAAAAATTACATAAATGATAGTAATGTTACATAAATGGTTAAATTCATTATGCCTCAACTCCTTTGGTATCATCCCTTGTCATTATCCCTTGTCTTTAAATAAATATATTTGATTTTCAAACAAAAATAATTCAGGACTAATTAGGCATATTTCAAACAAAAATACGTTGCTACAGTTACATAGAAATATTTTATTTTTTATAGAAAAACAATGAATGTCAATAATGTAACATTCACCCACTAATGCTCCACAGAAGTGATAGACATTGAGTCCCTTAATTTCTACTTGAAGAGTAGCCAAAGTATTATGAAAGAACAAATCAAATGGCAATCTTATTTTTACTGACAGAACAAAATATTTGGAAAGGGCATTTCACAAAGTATGCGAACCCCTCTTCAAACCAGTGAAGCAATTGTATCTTTGGAAGCTTGTAGAGGTATTTCAGGGGATATTCTGTTCCCAATTACCTGTATATGTATGCATAGCCATTTTCCTTCTCTTTGCTGGTAGTCCATTTCAAATGTTTTATCTTACTCTAGTTTTTTTTTATATTCACTTTTTTAAAAAATAAGATGTGCTTTTCAATAATAAACATTTTCTGATTATAGAACTTGAGAATAATCACCTTTTGAATTCAAGTTTTGCCAATTTGGTTGGAAGTCCTGAAACCAAGAATCTTGGAAAGAAATCAAGCAACTGTTTAGCTAATACTGAAAATGTGATGGATGTTTCCAGAGCTGAATTATATACCTCTTCTGATTCCCCAAGTGACTCTCAACACACAGGCCTAAAGCGATTGAGTGGTAAAGATTTACATAAAAATTCAATCCTACCTAATGACAAAGGATGTGATTTCCTTGTCAAAAAGTCATTAATTGATATGCCTTCTACTCCAGAATGCAAAGATGGTATTGATTGGTTTTTAGCCATTGCTGATAATCCCCTTCCTCAGGTGAAAAATGTGGACCATACCGTTTCCGTCGAAAATCTGGTCCATCGTGAAGTTATTGAAAATAACAACAACAGTAGTTCTGAGAATGACTTTTCTTCAATTAATCTAATTGATACTCCAGTAACGACTAAAGATTCTTCTCTTTGCAAACAACGAAAATATAGAAGGAAATCAAGCCTTAGACTGAAGGCTTCTATATCACATGATAAAGAACCTCAGAATGATTTCTTACTTGCATTGATTACTCCAATTAAGTCTGCTAAAGATCAAGATTCTTCTTTTGAAGATTGTTTTTCATCTTCTAACTTTACTAAAAATAAAATAAGAGCCAGCCTTCTTCCATGTCAGCAAAAGTTACAGAATGACAAGGAAATTAAGTATAATTCTCCCAGAAGCAAATTAGAAGGTATGTTGCAAAATTCTAGTCCAGTAAGTACAAGTTACAACAGAAAGAGGAAAAGAGTGACTGAGATTACTGAGGATACAGTTAGTGAGCCCACGCTATCTACACTTCTTCAAAGGAGAAAAACCGGTGTAAATTGTACATCAAACACTGAAAATGGAAACATAGTAGAAACATCAGACTGTTTTTTAAATTCCAACATTCGGGAACCAATCACAACCAGTTCTACAGCTGGTAAGTTGTTACTGAAAGATAATCGTCCAGCAAAATAATACCCAGAACTATTTTAAATGTCTGAAAACTTTCATTCTAAAATATAATTGAGCACAGAGGTATTTTTAGAATCTCATTTGGAAAAGGAAAATACTCTTATGATAAAAATATTTCAAGAAATATTAGATGTATAAAATATTTTTCTAAATATTTTTAAAAAAACAAAAATACAGTTTAAATATACGGAAGGAGAGAGTAGTGAAAAATTGTTATATGTGTCTGATGATAGAATATTATTGAATACTTAGTATTCCATCCATATAATTTCATGTTGTTTCCCTGTGTAGCCACAATTTATACCAGTGTTAATAAGAATTTTGAAGTACCTGTTTAAAATGCAGTATAACAAAATTATTTTACTGCAGCCAGGAAGTTATTAACTGGAAATTCCAAAAAAATTATACAGTTTGAAAATTTGTAGCTCTAAAGGAAGGACAATTCATACAAAGAAGACTATATTTAAGTTTTATGGACATTTTGCTGAACAAATGAAACTTAGAAATTCTAACTTTAAATTCTTAAAATCTTATCTAAGAATCTCAAAAATGAGTACACTGAAAATTTGTGAACATTGTTATTTTATTCCTGAAAATCACTGAAACAAAGGCAATATAGACTTAATATATCTCTAGTCTCAATGAGCTTTTCATTACTGGAAAGCATACCTGATGATGTGATTTTTTACAATATTAATGCTGCTGTCTAGAAAATATATTTTGTGTCTTAAAATACGCATTAAAAAGGTTCATTCTATAAAATATACTTATAAAGTGCTAGAAAAAGATAATTATGTATAAGAATTACATGTTTAATGTCTAAATATGTTTAACAGATGTTAAATGAATTATGAGAATAACTCATGTTTGGCTTCCTAAATATAACTGAATGTCCTTTTGCTGATGCATCTGAAATAATGATCTGTGAATACAGTGCCTTAATTTCAAGAAAGATGTGAATGTATAGATATATAAAGCACAAACCAAGGGGAAGTCTTATTTGATGTTCAGAAAGTGAAATAACATTTTAAATACTTTTCAATAAAATATATGAAGGGTCTGTCTACTGAAAAGAATTATTGTATTCTTTTGATTCAGTTTAAAAATATAATTACATATTGAATGATCTTGGTTCTCTGCAGGAATTAACTGGTAAAGTAGGTTCTCTGTTATAAAATGATAGCTTTATTCTGTAGCATTCTCAGCTTTTTGAGAATTCATTTCATATACAACCTTTGTCTAAGATGTGAAGCTTTTAATAGTTAGATTTGCGACATCAGCTTTCAGGTGGATTTTTGGAGTCTGGTGAAAAGTCTTGCTGTCATACATATCTATTTGGTGATATTCCTTTAAAAGAGAAAGCTCTTCACTGTGCTTATGTACTTGATTGCTCAGCATTCCACGGGCTGTAAAATTTAGTGTACTGTAATGTGTTTCCACATAACTAAGACAAGGACTACAGCAGTTGGTAATGTTATAATCTAATTCTGTGCATGTATATTCAAACTAAATTAAACTCAGGATTTTGACATAGATCAGTTAATAAATACAGATTGGATTATATGAGTCTTCAGTTAGCTAGGTTCTATTTCATCTAAAATCAAGGGTTAGTCAGAATTCAAATCTGATTTACATGTGGAAATTAAAACTTGGTTGTTTCATATATTAATGGCAATCTATTGTTATAAGGTACATTGACTGTAACCTTTAGTTATGAAAATAATACATGTATTCTGGTCGGTTTAGGAACCAATAATCATCCAGGATTGTAGTGTTTATTTTAGATGCATTTTCTTAGTTTAATGTAATAAACACTAATCTCAGGCTTTCCTCACATATCATTCTAGAAGAATTGTAGACACGTAACTTTTTATATTGGACTGAATACACAGAAGCAGGAGTGGCAGAAGACCTCCATTCTGTATATGTAATACGTGATATAATATACACATTATGACTGCATTGAATCTCTTTCATATGAAAGATAGAATACTGCTGCTCATGTTTCAAACAAAATTAGGACAGCCCTCTCGCAAGCATAGTATCTATCCAGTTGTTAAAGCAGCCACATCCTTTTTTTAGGCTACATAGAAACCTAGGGTGTGTGTAGGGGAGAGAGATACTGTAGCGCTGTAATAAGTAGCAGAGAGGTGCTGTCTTGTGCAAATTGTAAAGCAATACTTCTGAACTATTTTTTGCATGGTTAATACATGTGTTAATATTCAGCCTTGCATAAAATATAAATTCTTTCCTTACCAGGAGCACCAATATTTTTACTCATTTATAAATTTCTTATAAATATTTTGTAAATATCTACTTGGATATAAAATGTGATTCATTTTCTATATAGTGTATTGCTATTTAGATATTTTGAATTAATAAAGGTATAGATGAGAAATGTGTTTATCTGAACTGTATGCATTATTGTACTATAGAGTATGTACATGCTGTCTTTTCTACTGGCAAAACTAGGGCAATGGGTTACCGTGTTTCCCTGAAAATAAGACATGTCCGGATAATAAGCCCAATCGGGCTTTTCAGCACATGTAATAATATAAGCCACCCCCACAAAATAAGCCCCCCTCCCACCAACTACCTACACGCATGAGCAGCCGGTCCCGCCATTTCCTTTGGTTGCTTGCCGTGCAACCAAAATGAGTTGAGGCGAGGCCAGAGGGGGGGAGACATGCCCTACCCTCCCTGTTCTTTGCAGCGGCTGAGCGGCCCTACACGTCCCACCCCACCCCAATGGCAACAGCTGCTTCCCTTCCCCGCCGTCCCTTTATTAAGAGGGGTGGCAGGTGGGGCGGAGGAGAAGCGAGATGCGTGGAACGAGACGTGGCTCCCCTTGCTGTCTCTTCTTTCCCCCCCCCCCTTTGCCGGGCATGACAGGGCTCCTGCCCTTGCTTAGCCACCCGCCCCCTTTAGGAATACAATTTGGGGGTGGCAAGTAAGGTGTGTAAGAAGTGGGACGTGCGTCTTACCTTTCAAGCTCCGTCACTTTTCTCGAAGTATCCAGGGAATCATGCTATAAAAGAAAGCCTCGTGAGTTCGAGAAGTTTAATTGAACTTGCGAGAAGGCTTTCTTTTACAGCATGTTTCCCTGGACACAATGGCGAGGAACGCGACAGAGCTGGAAAGGTAAGACGTGCGTCCCACTTCTCGCCCGCCCTACCTGCCACCCCCAAATTGCATCCCTAAAGGGGGCAGGCGGCTAAGCAAGGGGCAGGAGCCCTGTCATGCCCGGTATGGGGGGGGGAGAAGAGATTGCAAGGGGAGCCACGTCTCGCTCCATGCGTCTCGCTTGTCCCCCACCCCACCTGCCACCCCTCGATAAAGAGACGGCAGGGAAGGGAAGCAGCTGTTGTCATTGGGGTGAGGTGGGACGTGTTGGGCCGCTCGGCCAGCGCAAAGAACGGAGGGGAGGCGATGGCAGCGACGGGACATCCAGTCCCACACTCGCCGTCTCCTACATCCCCAAAATAATAAAGACACACACACACACACCCCGATAATAAGGCCAAGCCCTTATTTTGGGGGTCAAAAGAAAATAAGACCCTATCTTATTTTCAGGGAAACACGGTATATAATCATTGAAGCCAAAGTTTCAGTTCCAATTATGTTATAGATTTGTTTTACTGTACAGCTCTTGATATTTTAAAAAATGCATCATGCATTGGGAGAGAAGTACTGCTGTTTTTATGATACACCATTTTAATTACTCTACATGTAGCATTATTTGATGAGCATGTACTTTTTAGTCAATGTAATATCAAATTCAGTAAACTAGAACTGAATACATCTGTACATGATTTGTGGGCCTGCTGGAATCTAGGTTTTTCATTTTTTATCTAATCATCTTTTTGAGTGGCAATAGTAAAACTAAATCACTTCATTTATTTGTCTTCATTACTGGTATCAGTTCACAAGGATATGTGAGAATTAAATGTCCTCATTAGCTATAGTTGCCATACCAGGGTTGATTGTACTGTGGGGTTGGTTGTGGCAAATTTTACAGTAATCAGCATTGGAGACATATTTTTCCATGTATTTTCATATTACAAACACCTAAGTCCCATAGAAGGATTAATAATTCATTTCCTTTTTGGCACAGTGTTCCCAGATGCAGCTTGGTACTTTATGAACAACTATGTTTTTATATGATTTCTTTATATAAGAAATTTCTTGTAAAGGTGAGGTATATCTCACTGTTTGAAGCTTCCATATATTTGTATTAAAAGCCAGCATGCACTTGGAGTTTGGAAAAGCAATTCCAAAATAGGCTCTTAAAAGTTAATGCCTAGAAAATGCCATACTACTGATACTGTTTTCATTGGCTGTGATCCCTTCATATATACCATTCTAATCTTAGAATATCCATGTACAACGTAAGCTTTTTTCCCCCTGAATTTTTTCTCTCTCCCATTTCCTTACAAACCTGAAAGGGTAGTTATAGAAATGTTTAATACAATTTGGGTAAAAAAAAAAAAAGTTTTTCAGAGAATGGTATTCATAAGTATCAATAGTGTATTCATAATACTACAGATATGTTGATATAATATGTACAGTATAGCTAAAGTAGAGTGACTTTTCTTACTTCATGGTATTTTAGGACACCCACCTCCTTTTTTTGTGCCAAGATATCTTATATCAGAAAATTCGATGTTCACAGCAGTTTTTCCCATCCAGCCAAAGACTTCATTATATATTCCATAAAGCTCAGGCTACTGTCATGTTACATGTTGTAATAATTATGTTTTATTTGTTAGTTAGTGGAAATAAGATTGAATATGGCTTGAAGATAGTGAGCAATGTATGAATGCAGCTATAACTAAGGCTGAATTTAAGAGCAGACATCTTAGAATTCAAATTATTACGGAGACCTGATTGGGCCCAGAAGGGGGGGGTGCCCCTGGTTGAAATGTGCCCACCAGGTTTCCGGGCATTTCATCAGCCGAGGGTCCAGGGTAGGGGTGGGGGGGGTGGCAGTTATTATTAAAGAAAGTCTATGTCCAAGGGAAACCACTGTACCTCAGCCGGATGTGAGTCCCTCCTTGTGAAGTGGGGTCGTGTGGTGCAGATGGGCCTGCTGATTACGTACTTGGCTCCCTGCTGCATGGCAGCGGCCCTGTCCGAGCTGCCTGACGTGATAGCCGGGGTGGCAGTTGATACCCCCAGGCTTATAGTTATGGGGGATTTCAACCTGCCATCTGTCAGTGAAACGTCTATGGCGGCTCGGGAGTTCTTGGCTTCCATGATGGCCTTGGACCTGACCCAAGTAGTTGAAGGCCCTACTCACATGGGGGGACACACTCTGGACTTGATTTTTGTCTCTGGTCAGTGGCAGAGTGATCTGGAAAGGGGGGATTTAGTCATCGAACCCTTGTCATGGTCTGATCACTGGACTTTCCAACTGCTACACCTCGCTGCAGGGAGACGGAACCGACCAGGTGGTTCCGTCCCAGGCGCCTGATGGACCCGGATAGGTTCCTGATGGAGCTTGGGCCATTCCCTGAGACTCTGGCTCACGGCACAACTGAAGAGCTGGTGGCCACCTGGGATAGGGCGGCTGCCGGAGTTTTGGATCGTGTCATGCCTTTGCGGCCTCTGACCCGGTGCCGATCTCAATTGGCTCCCTGGTTCTCCGAGGAGCTGAGAGAGATGAAGCGCTGGAAAAGACGCCTGGAGAGTGATTGGAGGGCCAGTCGCTCCGAACCTGACCGAACACTGGTGTGGTCTCATATTAAGATCTACCTAGTGGCGATAAAAGCGGCGAAATTTAACTATTTTTCCGCTCTTATCGGGTCTGCAGAGAACCGCCCAGCAGCCCTGTTTAGGGTGACCCGCTCCCTCCTTCATCTGGGAGCGAGGGCAGACCCCTTGCAGGGCAGCGCTGACGATTTTGTGCAATTCCTGCATGACAAAGTCACTCAGATTCGGAAAGGTCTGGATTCTGATTAGGTAGATCCGGATGGAGTGATGGAGGGGAATCTTGAGAATGTTATCTGGGAGGGGTTTGACCCTGTGACTCCCGAGGACGTGGACAGGATTCTGGGGAGGCTTAGCGCTGCCACATGTTTGTTGGATCCGTGTCCCTCCTGGTTGGTGCTGGCCTCCCGGGAGGTTACACGAGCCTGGCTCCAGGGGATTAACGCTTCTTTGAGTGAGGGTTACTTCCCCCGCTCTTTGGAAGAGGCGGTGGTGAGGCCTCTCCTCAAGAAACCTTCCCTGGACCCGGCTACATTAGCGAATTATCGCCCAGTCTCCAACCTTCGCTTCGTGGCGAAGGTTGTTGAGAATGTGGTAGCGCGACAACTGCCCCAGTACCTGGATGAAGCCGATTATCTAGACCCGTTCCAGTCGGGCTTCAGGTCAGGGCACAGCACGGAAACGGCATTGGTCGCACTGGTTGATGATCTCTGGAGGGCTCGGGACAGGGGTTGTTCCTCTATCCTGGTCCTATTAGATCTCTCAGCGGCTTTTGATACCATCGACCATGGTATCATGCTGCGACGATTGGAGGGGTCAGGAGTGGGGGGGGCACCGTGTTGCGGTGGTTCTCCTCCTTCCTCTCTGACCGCACGCAGTTTGTGTTGCCAGGGGGGGGCAGAGGTTGACCTCGAGGCGCCTTGTTTGTGGGGTGCCGCAAGGGTCAGTCCTCTCGCCTCTTCTGTTCAACATTTATGTGAAGCCGCTGGGCGAGATCATCTGTGGTTTCGGAGTGAGATTCTATCAGTACGCTGATGACACTCAGCTGTACATCTCCACTCCGAACCACCCCAATGATGCCCTTGATGTGATGTCCCGGTGCCTGGAGGCCATGTGGATCTGGATGGGGAGAAACAGGCTCAAACTCAACCCCTCCAAGACTTGAATGGCTATGGCCTCCGGCGTCCCGGTATAGTCAGCTGGGAGATCTTGGCCCACACAGAGAGGGCTCGCAACTTGGGTGTTCTCCTAGATGCACGGCTGTCTTTGGAAGAGCACATGACGGCCGTGGCCAGGGGAGCTTTCTATCGGGTTCGCCTGATGCACCAGTTGCGTCCCTTTCTGGACTGGTATGCCCTGCGCACAGTCACTCATGCCCTTGTCACATCCCATCTGGACTACTGCAACGCTCTCTACATGGGGCTCCCCTTGAAGAGCACTCGGAGGCTCCAGCTGGTCCAGAATGCGGCCATGCGGGTGATTATGGGTGCGACTCGGCACGCCCATGTAACACCCCTCCTGCGCGAGCTGCACTGGCTCCCGTTGGTCTTCCGGGTGCAATTCAAGGTGTTGGTCACCACCTTTAAAGCACTCCATGGCTTAGGACCGGGATACATACAAGACCGCCTTCTGCCATCAACAATCTCCCACCGGCCAATACGCTCCCATAGAGAGGGGCTCCTCAGGGTGCTGTCAGCCAAACAATGCCGACTGGCGACACCCAGGGGGAGAGCCTTCTCTGTGGGGGCACCAGCCCTTTGGAATGAGCTGTCCCCAGAGCTTCGTCTTAGCCCCGACCTGCGTATTTTTCGCTGTGCCCTAAAGACCTTCCTGTTTCAGCAAGCCGGACTGGCCTAATATGAATTTTAAGTGGGTGTATGTGTGTTTTAATTTGAGGGGCAAATTGTATATATTTGTTTTAATTAGTTTTAAATTTTATAAATTCATGTGTTTTAATGTGGCTGTACACCGCCCTGAGCCCCCTGGGAGAAGGACGGTATAGAAATCCAATAAACTCCAAACTCCAAATAATACATGCGAAGTAAATGAAATTGGAGTGTTTTTTATAGAGGTAGCTGTTTCAATCTTGGGTTGTGAAGTTGTTCCAACAGTTCTGGAAATGTTCTGAACTATTAGAGGTTGCTTTGAATTAGATTTGGTTTAAACTGAACAGAAACATTTCCAGAAAGATCTAAATCAGGGGTGTCAAACTCAAGGCCCATGGGCTGAATCCGGCCCGCGGGATGCTTAAATCTGGCTTGTGGGGCCGGCTTGGAAATATCAAAGGACCAGCCTGCAGTGCCACTACCAGCCAAAATGGGCTACCGGGAGGGGGGGGCTTGTGGAACCTACATGGCCCATTTTCAGCCTCCTGCAGCACTCTGCCAGCCAAAAATGTCCTGTCTCCCCCCCTGCTCTCCTCCCCACCTCTGGCCTGCGGAGGAGAACTACAATGCTCATCCAGCCCTCAAAGAAATCCAGTTTGACACCTCTGATCTAAATAGTTGTTTTGAACTGTAAACATTTCAGCTTTAAAATATTTTATCCATCACTGCTGTTTTCATTTTAAAAGGAGTTTGCTTCTAGTAATATAAAGTTGCAAAGTGAAAATTTAATGAAGTTCTGCCATGAAAAGTTATGAAGATGTAATAGGCTGTGAGAATAATCTTGGTGCAATTTGTGGGTTGCCTTCCATAAAGATAAATAAAAGGAAATATTCAATTTTTAAAATTCAAATTAGGACCTGCGAAAAATCGAATATGAAAGGTGAGTTTTTAAAAGATAATACGTACCTAAAAATGATTTTTAAAATGTTTACTTAGAACTGCAATTACTCTTTTTTAGAGAAGCCATACAATGTAGAAAAAACACCCAAAAAAGGAACTGTACCTGATTATGAAAAATACAGGAACAATGCAAAGCTGCAATTGTGCTAATACATTAACAGCATTTACATTTTTCATAGTATGGATTAAGATTAACTCTGAATGGATCTGGTTTTTAGATAATGCCAAATTTTCAACGAGTGATGCCAAAAACACTGCTTGTGAACCTTTGGGGAACCATGTGAATGAGCCTGATAGGAAATTAAAGATTACTAGGAGAATTGAAAAGGTGAGTTGGTATATCATGGCTGTAAAACCAGTAGAAGAAAGTGTTTCTTCTTTTTTCCAGGTTGAGTGATGTCTTTTTGTGCCAGGTATGGGGGACCTTACAATCTGCAGAAGTAGATGGGAATCCTAAGGGGAGAGCACAAAATCTAATGTTTAGTGGACACAAAATCATAGCAAGCCATTAAATAGCTAATCTATTCAGAGGGAAAACATGATTGGACAAGGTACACTGAACTCTGCAGCATTTTATTACATATTCCTAGAATTGAAGTTTTCTGTACTGTTATTATTTTCTGTTATTTGTAAAACCAACATTTGATTTGGGAGAATGAGTGTGCAATGCTACAGCCATGAAATGGATCCTATACTTCATAATCTTTTTATTTTTCTGTAACTCAAGTATTGGAGTGTTCAGAGCCATCATCAGCTACCTGATTTAATAGCAGGAGGGTTTTCAGCTAAGCTAAGATTGTCTTTTCACCCATCCACTCACTCTCCTTTCTAATTCATGGAAACAAAAATTCATTAAACTCTCCGATGAGCAGCAACAAGTTTTTAAGAAGCATCTGTCACAAGACATTTCATCTTCTAGTATTTGGATTTATTCTTACGATCAATCAATCGATCTGTTTATTTACCATACAGGCCTTTCCACATGGTTGAAATCTAAGCAATGTTTTTGGATAGAACATTGTATTGTTTATGAGTAGTTGGAAGAACTGCTGTTATTGAAGAGATGTCATGTCTATAGTTTGCATGTGCTGAATTGTTCTGTATAGCTTTTCAGCAGTAGATACTGAAGATATAGCACATCATTTTACAATAATAAAATAAATGAGCTTCACATATGGGGAAAGATTTTACAAATTTCAGAAAGCCAATTCTATTTGATGCATTTAGAATATTCAATTAGAATGGGTGAATCTTCTGTAAATCATGGAGACAAATATTTGCAGTTAAAGTACAAAACTGGCAACCTCATGCTTAATTACTTTAGGTAGCTATAGATTAAAAGTACTAGACCATCAAAGCTGTTTTCTAGAAATAGTCTTTTGCTTGGGTGACCCTACCATCTTTATAATACAGTGTTTTCACATCATTCTTTCTTCCCCACTAAATGTTGAAAAAATATGTTCAAGGATCATAGAAATGTGCTAGTTTTTCATGTTTAGCACTGAGATATACAGTGGTACACTCTCTAACTTTGCAGCAGAGAACTGAGGACCACTCAGAAATTCCATGCATGAAGTTACCCTACATATGTACACAGGGCTCATTCATTCGGGTGCGTTTATGTCAAGAAGCTACAGTTTGCTTCCTAAATGTTGAGGTATAAAAAAGCTTTAATCTTTGTAGGATTTAGATTTCATCAGAATTGGACATTGTTAAGGGCAAACAAATATGTTGATTTATTTTTCCTTATTTCTTTAAATCTTTAGCCTTTGAGAACATTAGTCATGACAAGCATGTCCCCTGAGTAAGTACCAGGTATTGGGATTATGTTTCTATGTACATATATTTTCATATCTTTGTAGTTCTTAAAACTTCCTTCTTTGTCTAGTATCACCCAATGTTTGGATTTTAACTTCTTAAAATCTGAGCCAATGTGGCCTTTAATGCAGGCCTATGGCAACATTTGGAAACAACACTTCCATTAATAGTTTATATTTGTATGCTACCATCAGAAAAATATAGACATACACAGACTTCAATCCCTAGGATTCAAATTAGCTTTGTACATATAGTATACATTTTCTGAGTGTTGTAAAACACATCGTATTAATAATTTTAATTACTTAAAATCATTTTTATGTAAGAAGAATGAGTAAAACTACTTTACATGGGACTGTAGTAAAAGTATGATAAATACATAAATATGGATTTTGTTAGATAGAGATATGTAGGAAACAGAACAAGTTTTTTACAATCTTTGCTGTATGATGAAAGAATGTATGCTTACTGCATTCACTGAGTGCTGTTCCTTATTAACTGTTTCAAATTGCAGTATGGAATAAGACAGCTTATTTATATAAATGAAATTCAAAGATTTTAAAAGAAACAATTCAAATATCAAATTAATGACAGCATCTACCATCCTGCTGTCCTATCCCAGTAGTCATCATCAAATCCCACACATTCTCTCAATACCATTTTATGGCTTTCCCATGGGAGCAAAATGGAGGCCAACTGGAACCACTGGAGAGTGCTATTCCCTCCAGAGAGAAACATTTATCACAAGACCACCACCCCTCAATATACTTCATGAAAATGGGTGCCTTAAACATTCTTTCTTAGGATGAATAAATAAGAGCTGTGTACTTCTTATAATGGATAGGATGCTTCTACTTGGAGATACATGGAAGCCAAGCCATCTGGTTTAAAACTAGGACTTTGAATTTGATCCAGAACCTTATCAGAAAACAGTATAGCATTCAGAAGATTGGTGTCATCTAATTCTTATTTGAATTAGTGGTGGGCTGCTAAATTCTGTACCTATTTCAGATTTGATTCATTTTCAAAGGGATATAAATTTAGTTTGAAGGCGATAAATTACCATGCTGTTTTATTGTACCCCTACTTAAGTAAATATGTACAAAACATTCAACAATAGGAGCATTCTGACTCCTGAAACATCTGTTCCAACCTCATTGGAAATACCTGAACATCAAATAGGGCTGTCCCAAACTCCATTTTACAACTAGAAATAGCTTGTTGCTGAGGTCAGACTACTTTCAATGAAGTAGGCCCAAAATAAACATAACTTTTGGCCATTTTAATGTTTTGTACATACCTCTTATAATAATGTTTATATTGTAACTATCAAATTTCTGTAGATGTGTAATAAGTTATTAAGGTCCGCTCTCTGTTTCTTAAAGGATGCAGAAAGTAACACTGCAGGTGCTGAAGAAGCTGGGTGGTTTTCTGACTTCTGATGAAGTATGCAAAAATACAAGTCATGTAATTGCAGGGAGCCCCCGCCGGACTTTAAATATACTTATGGGAATTGCTCGAGGCTGTTGGATTGTCTGTTATGAATGGGTAAGTAATACAGATGACTATCAATAGACTTTCTTTTTTCATTAAAATATGATCATTATCTGGTGACATTAATGGTAAATGAATATATGAGATACACAGTGTAAAATATTAAAGTGTTTCTGTCAATCAAGATTGCATAAGTTTATTACATATTAATTTTTACAGCAAAATAAGCATATAAATGTGCACAACATTATTACCACCTTTTTTAAAAAAATAGAAGGTGAATATTTCCTATAAACCAGGATTGTGAAATATTTTGGTCACGTTTCACATTCTCTGGATGGTGGAGGCTTGCAAAGTGAATTTGGCCATATGAATACTTGTAGGTGGGACTGAGGCATCCACATTCATATCCATGGACTCACAAGATTGGAAAACTATGCTATAATGTCATCAGTCATGGAGAGAAGAGGCCCCAAATATCAAAAAAAGTTCCTGGTGCCAGTTCTAAATTTGGGACTGCAGGAATTTATTTTTATAAAAAATTCTGAATGTTGAAAATTCATAAACAATGTTAGAGAGAACTCTACACTAGAATAATTTTGCCATTAAAATGCTAAAATCCAGATTTGTTTCTAAACAGATCCTTCAAGCTCTTCTGTTCTCCCCCTCTCAGACCAAAGTATACTGGAGGTACAAGAAATATGAGGAAATAAGAAAACCTCTTTGACAAAAATAAAGGCTGGTTTACATTTTCCTGGACCTTACCTGTTCCTTGGATTATTAATGTATAGATAAATTGAAGGCTCCAAAACTGGCTACTAAAATGTACAACTGGATGCCTTCTTTGTTTATATTTTCAACTTGGTGTATGATCATTGAAAATCCCTCTTCTGACTGTAAAGAAATGTATTTATTATGAGATTTAGCCTTCCTGCTATTTCTACAAAATATCTACTGAAACAAGACAGTAACACAGGCACTCAAATTAATGATAACCTTGTATTCAAAGTATACATATTGATTTTCAAAGTATTAGAAGCAGAAGGCTGTAATATCCCACTTTCCCAGGCTAGAGAGGAATCAAGTGCAGCTGCAGAAACAGGAAGGGCTTTAATGCCAAGGGATTTGTGTCACAGATGGATCGTATTTTCTGTAATCATATTCAAAGAAATTATCTCCATTCAGATGCTTCTGAACCAGGATTGTAAATACAACTGATTACACTGTCCATTATTGTATGTTATATAATTTTTAAATTGCAACTTTTCTGTAGCTGATTTTTTTTTTTTTTTGAAGAGGTAGACTATATAGTATGGTGTTTAACCTTTTCAATTCTGCCTTGCCTGTTTTATTTGTATTACCTGTAAACTGAGTATTTTTCTCACTAACAGGTTTCTTATTATTAATATCCATACTGACTTGAATGCCTAGAGGCACATGATCCAATGTCAAGATATAGAGCTGACAACTTTTGAAATAAAAATGTGTGGTATTTGGAGAAATCGTGCTATAAGATGTTAGGGATGTAAGGGTGAGGCTTAATTTCAGGTGGAATGGAGAGAGGTCCCAGAGATTTTGTGATAAGTTATATATTTTCTATTAGAGCCAAGTTGAGAAGAAAACTGTATTGCCTTGTTTTTTTTTCCTGGCAGCTGGCCCCAAAATATGATGGAGGAAAGAAATTAAGAGTGGTTTTTTAAGTTATCTCTTAGAATTCTATTAAGATGTTATAAACACCTTTTCATCTGATGTACTGCAATTAAGGAATATGTATATATCTCTAAATAGATATATATTATCTATTTAGAGATATATAACAGACCATATATCACCACACCAAGATTACATGCAGAATATTTCAGTTTCTTATCCAATATTTAATACTTCTGGGCCATTCATTCTGGTATGATTTGATGGGAAATATAAGGAGATTCAGCAAGTGTTTGACAATGTTTTGCTTCAGATAATAAGAGTATTAAATATTTTTACAGGTGAAAAATATGAAAGAGGACTCTCACCCTTTAAACTATATTTTTTAAAGAGGGGCTAGTAGAGGAAATGGCACATTTAAGTAGATAACCACAGAGGATGTCATTTTGTTCCTGTGGAAAAAGTCATTGACTGGTTTTAAACTGCATTTGTTTTGATCTTTTGTTATAGTCTCTTTGTAATGTTCCTTCCGGGACTGGGCACATTAAATCACTGTTTTGAACATACCAGCTGTTGACCACTGATCAAGTGATGAACAGCATTAATTGTTTCTCTTATTTTGCATATGTACAGTTTAGCACTGAGGAATGCATTTGGGAGTGGAGAATCTGGAACTTACTAACAGAGATTCATATAAGAAATACTGTTCTTGAGATATATATCGTGTATTTCAACTGTGCTTTGTGAAGGAACTATTTTGTAGCAAATTAGCAATTTCCGGAACTAATTAATCTTAGGCCAAGCAGTTATAAATGTTGGCAACTGTCTAAAGAAATTGTGAGAAAAGTGGGCAGCACTTCAACCTATGCACTGAGAATTTTCTGGTTTCCATCAGATCTCCCTAGATGTATCCATTATGATTAAAGACTTGGAAAGTCCTCTAATTCACTCATGAAGAATACTTTCGGGCAGATAGAGTGGACTATATAAGAAAAGCATTTGTATTCAGAGTCTTGCCATTTGATACATGAATAGTTTTAATCAATTTCTCTGATGGCATGGGAACAGTGGTTTAATGCATATTGATTTACCAACTAGCAAGTTAAGATTTTCAGTTTCCTCAAATATTTTTTTGTTCATCTAGTCAAAACTCAAATAAACTTGATGTTCTGTTGCACAACCCTCTGTGGCCAAGTTCATGATGTGATCCTATATATATTCTAAAAGCTGTTGTTTTATTGATTGAATCCTACTCTGAGACTAATGAATGTGCTACTGCAGGAAATCTTAATAAAGAAGAAGAAAATTGACAACTTCCTCACATGGTTCAAACAACATTGGGGCTGCACTTCTTTGAAAAGACATTTCCTTGTTTCTTCATGCAGCAAATTTGCTTCCAAAAAGCTTTGTGATTAAGTGTGATTAAGGTCTGTTGACTGAACCAAGCATACAAATATATTCAAATTCCATGCACCATTGATTATGTCTTTAAACATCTGTTTTAAGGCTGAGCATTGTCCACAAACTTAGAAGCCTGTTTCTATTATGAGCTAAACTTCTAACGAGGATTCAATGAAGTAAAATATGTTGTACACAGTGTACAGCTAAAGCATAGTTATCTGGCCTGTGTGAAACAAAGCTTGAATATGCTAACTATTCCGCTGTTAATGATCTTCTTACTATTGGCTACTTTACACATTTCGAATAGACCTATTAATTCTCAGTGGTTCCATCACTGTCTAGGTTTTGTGGTCTCTGGAACATGGCTATTGGATTTCTGAAGAGCCATTTGAATTGTCAGTGGATTTCCCTGCAGCTCCTGTAAGTAATATTTTGCTTTTTAATTTATCATAGAATATGATAACGATTTGATTGTCATATATAAAAGTATAAGCAATGGAAAATGTTCACAGGGAACTATATATCAACTAATCCCAAATCAAATTTCCTCAAGAGGTGTTCAAACTTTTAATTACCAGTTTCCCTTTAAGCTAGAGAAAATAGAAGCAGATCTTTTAAACTGTCCAAAATACTCACAAATTATAATTAAGAGGTATTATTTTAAGAGAAAAGAACAAGAAAGAATAACAGTCCAATATTCTTATACATTATACTGAGTTCACATGTAGAGTTCTATAAATTGCAAAGGTATTTCGAGCTTTAGAATACCTATGCAAATATCTGATATGCAAGGTATAAAAATAGTGGTCTGTTATATACTCAGTATTAGATTTTAAAGAAAAGACATAAAATATAGAAATATTTTTATACAGTCTTATTAAATATACTATGTGCTACCAAATATCCTTGAATATGTGACTACTAGAGGCAATAATCTGAATATAGGCATTAATTACAAAATATTTACATAATTACAAGGAACAGCATGAATAATAAGATACAATATAGTTTACAAAGCAGTGCTCTTTTTAAAATAGCAATTGAGAGTTCAATTGTAAGATATAAAGTAATGTTTAAGACTGAAGACATTTTAGATAATCTAGATATATTTCACAGTTCCAGTTATGCACAAACTTCATAAATGTTCATGAAAACAAAGTTCTTAAGGTCCTGCAGAATCCTTTTAACATTCTCCTTTTAAAATCATTATCGCTTTGGTTATTTCTTCTTACATGACTGAACTGTGATGAAATTCAGCAATGCTGAAATCAGGAGTAGAAACACTGATTCCTATAGAATGCATATGCATGTTGTTCAGGCAGAAAAATTGGTCATAGTGTATCCATATTGTCAAAGTATATTAAAATTATGTCAACATAATTTTCCAACATAAAAGTGTAGACTTTTTTAGAAATCTGTTGGGCGGATCATCATAGTTGTGGCCTTTAGAGAATAGCCTGCTCCTTTCCAGTAGTACCATTTAATCCCTTTAAATTTGTTTGTGTTCTGTCGCAGTGGATAGTATAAACCATTTAGATTGGAGGGTCCACATGCATCAAACCACCATCCTGTATAAAATAAAAGGAAACATGAAAGAGATTCACATATTTATGTTTTGTAAACTAGACATACAACTTCACTTTTAAAACAATTAATTAGAATATTCATGCATAATTGACATCTTTTCCATATTTCCATCTCATATTCACCTTCCAAGTGCTAATTCAGAGCACCCTTCTGACAGTAACCATTTTAAAGGGCTAAACATGAAAAGCCTCGTGAAAGAGGCAACTCTTAAAGCCAGTGTTTGGTATTATAGAAGCCATCTTGATACTTGCTTATCACTTACGCCTCAAAAGAGCTACATTGTATGGTGATTGACTGTAAGCACTGAGCTGATTAAGCAGAGTGAATGTTTACAGGCCTCCAAAGTTGAGCATTCTTTAAAAGAGGTCAAACTCGATTTCATTGAGGGCCGCATCAGGGTTATGTTTGACCTCATGGGGGGCAGAGTGGGCATGGCCAGGTGGGCATGGCCAGCTCGATGTCATTTGTGTGGGGGATGCCTGTGGTGGCCCGAGCGCTCTGCCAGAGAAAACAGGCTCCCCAGTTCCATTTTCGGCTTTGGCAGCCTCCTGCAACCCTCTTCCAACGAAAACAGAGCTCAGGATGACCTGCATGTGGCCCTCCCAAGCTTCGCTGGCAGAGGCATCACGGGCCAGTCCTTCACTGTTTCCAGGGCAGCCCCACGGGCCAGATCTAAGCACTCCATAGGCCCGATCCAGCCCCCCAGGCCTTGAATTTGACACCCCTGCTTTAAAACATAATATGGCTATAATATTTCCTGGGGACTTCCAGAGAAGCAGTGGCACACTAAAAACACTCTGTGAGAGTGAAGCCAATAACTGCAGTAGAGCGAAGACCCAGTGAATGGATTGCTCCTTGAAATTCCCGTGAGGAGCAAGGAGAGAACCAGGATTGCCTGCAAGTGATCCATACAATGGCTCTTCATGAGGAAATTGTAAGACAGCAATCTTTGATCAGTTTTAGAGCTTTGGGAGCTGAAGGAAAGTAATATCTGTCCAAAGCACAGTTCAGAGCCTTCAAAAGGACGCTGAGTTTGCATATTTTCTTTCCTAATCATTTTTCAGAATTGCTTGTTACATTGTTGTGATACTAAGAATCCTCAGAAAGGCAAGTTTCATTATACCAGGTGAGTTTTCTCCTAAACTTGATGATAAGAGTTTCATGCAAGGACTTTAAAAAATTCTTATTTTTGAATAAACAGCAAAAGGATGATTTAAAAAATTGATTTCGGAAAGTTCTAAATGAATTAAGGGGCAAGATTTTGAAACTAATTGTAAGAAACCCTCCCATGAGAAATAATTGCTCAGAGCCAGATTGGACTACTGGTTAAGGCACCAGGCTAGAAATTAGGAGATTGACTTCTTGTCCCACCTTAGTCTTGAAAGCCAGCTGGGTAACTTTGGGCCAGTCACTCTCTCTCAGCCCAGCTCATTTCACAGGGTTATTGTTAAGAGGAAAAGAGAAGGAAGGAGTGTTATGTTCTGTATATTCACTGCCTTGAATTACTTATAAAATAATAAAGGTAGGATAAAAATCTAATAAATAATAAATTAAGAAAAAAATGATAAGACGGATTTTGAAGGTTGGACACTAGAGGGAGCCAGAAAGAACTAAAACTATAATTAAAGGAAAAGTGACACATTAATATAGAATGGAGCAAAATATATCTCATCTTAAAAGAATTCAAGGATATTTGGGAACAATGCACTCACAAATTGTGTGCCATTATAAAAATGGATTTAGAAATAATATACCAATTTTACTGGATAAAACAAACTAGGTGTCAGCGTCTCAGAACTGACATAGAAAAGGGAGAAGCCTGAACTTTTGCCTGCGTCTGTCAGGTTTCGATGCTATCTCAAAATAAATGAACTTCCAAACTGCCGATCTTTAAGGAAATTTTCTCTTTATTCGAGCACAGCAACCTGATCCTGACTCTTCGCGGTCAGTACTGACCTTTGCCCCCCAATCCCTCCCTTTCCGATCCCCAATTCTCTGCTTCTCATTGGCTATCTTCCAAGTCACTTTCCTGATTCCTTTTTCGTCAGGTCACAGGAATGTCTCCCCCTCCCCATCTCCGAGGAGACCGAATCTTCAAAGGGATTTAGCAGGCAAAAGTTCAGGCTTCTCCTCCCTTTTCTATGTCAGTTCTGAGACGCTGACATCAGGACTAATTCAAATGTTCTGAAAGTAGATTTTAAAATGTCAGACTGTAAGAGTGATACCAAAAATGTTACGTTGGATTTACAAATGAAACTGGCTGATATCTTAATAATTAAAGGGAACAGAACATCATTAATCAGAATGGCATAGATAACTTTCTTATCTTGGATTTACAAAAGAGATGTATTAAACCTATAAAGGAGTTTCTAACAAGAGGCAAAATGGTACGAAATTGACTTTTAGGACACTAAAGGGACTAAAGATCAAGATTCTTAAAAGGAGATGGAATGAATACAAAGTTGATTTATTTGATCAAGGTTAAAAACATATATGTTGCTTCTGATAGTTGTTGGTGGATTTTTCTTGACTATAACTGAATGATAAGGCTTTAAAAATTTCTTAATATATAAGAGGTAAGATATGGGAAGAAGAGACGTTTTACTTTATAACTTACAAATAAAATAAAGGAATATAAAACTACTTTGTCCCAAATGTCCAAAGTCACTCAGCTGGCTTTGTGCCTAAGGCAGGACTAGAACTCATTGATCCTCCCAGTTTCTAGCCTAGTACCTTAAGCACTACACCAAACTAGACAGTTGATTTTCATGTAATAGTACTAACATAATACAAAAAAATCTGCATTAACAATTATCAAAAGAAAAAATACTCTGTCATATTAGAATTACAGTTTGTTTATTATTGCTATTCATAATAGCACCCTCTCCAGTTTTATAAGTAGCTTAGTTCAGAGGTTCCCAATCTTGGCAACTTTAAGATGTGTATACTTCAAAGCCAGTAGGGAAATTCTAGATGTTGAAATCCCTGCATCTTAAAAGTTGCTAACATTGTGAACCCCTGGCTTAGTTCCTTGTAAAAAATATAAAATGCAATCTTCTTGATTAGATCAAATGCCTGTTTAGCCCAGCATCCCCATTGCAATCAACCAAACTGCTATGAATAATACAGCAGCCTATTCTTTCTTTATTTTAGTTTTGATCAAGTTATATGCTACCCACTTCCAAATTATTCTGTACACTCACAGCATGAATGTACAAACATTAAAAATTTTGTGTGTAATTTTTTAAAAGAAAAAAAAACTAAACTAAAAACTTGAATGCATAGATAGCTCTTCAGTGTCCTTGTAAACTAATAATAAGAGAGTTTCCCTCAATTCCAGCAGAATCTGTTCCAAAAGAATTAACTGCAATTGTCCAGCAACAATTATTCAAAGATATGCTGGTACTAATCTTAGAAGTACTAGATATCCATCAGTTAAATACATTTGGCTCTGACATTTTAATAGAAATGCTGTGGAGTAAATATGAGTAGAGAGCACCATAAAATGTCTGTACTTTTCCCAGATTATTATTGTTGTCCTCACTTTTTCCAAGCAAATCAGTTTAATTTTTCATTTCATTCAGTTGCTGATGTTGATGTGAAACCTTTGTGGGGTTTCATGGATCTCATTAAAGACAGTCATGTGGAAGTTAACTCGGAGCCAGGGCCAGTGTGCTAATTCTGAGATCTTCCGGATCTCATTAAATTCTCACCAATTTCCTGACCCATTTCTCAGTATCTTAGAGGGCATTCTTGTGGTATCGTGCTGTGATTATAGCCTTGCATTGGTGCAAAAGAGTGAAAACAGCACTGATTGGACTATGCTTCCCTCCACCTCTATCTTCCTTCTTTCAGATTCTCTCTGCTGCTCCAGAGTAGATATTGGAAAATGACTTTTTCAGTTATAATGTTTTGAGCTAGTCTAAACATAAAGTCTCCTGGTGGAGCTCGACTCCTGATATCTACACAGCCATGTCCGTGTAGTTTTCTTTGCATATTACAGAAGATTTTTGCCACTGCATCTGGGAAGTCTTTCAACTTCCCAATCTAGACTGAAGTGCTGGTAGTATCCCATCCAAGTATTAACCAGCCGTGATCCTGCAACCTGCAACAATAGAGTATCTTGATAGATTTGCCTTAGTTTACTTACACAGGTCATTCTGATCTTTCCATTTTATTATAACAGCTGGTACGACCAAATGTATCTGCTTTTTACTTTATGGATAGATAAAGTGCCAACAGAAATAGAAAAGTGTGAGAATAGGAAGAGAAGAGAAAATGCCGCTCTTACCTCCTGTTAACATTTGTGAACATTTGCAGATGCATTTGTCGTTGTCTACATCCTTTGTGCTAAACCCATTTCCTGGTTGACTGATGCTGCTTATTTTGCCGGCTGTACCCGTAAGCCCTTTAAGGTTGATTCTGTAGACAAGCAAAATGGGAAACAAATTATTGCAGGCTAAAGTGGTTGCGCTGGATTTTCTGTAGAGAGGAAATATTTTCCAAGAAGTATCCTGTTCCCTTCTCTGGTTAACAATCTACGATTTGCCTTTTGGAGAGTATGCCAGGGACTTTTTGTCAACAGCATATGTTGTTGTGAAAAAAAGATTAATATATTTTCTCCTGCGTTGTTGAACTAGCTTTAAAATAGCAACAATAATAACTAGAGGTAGTAAATCTTAATCAGTTGTTTATGGAAGTCTGTATTTAAAATGTACAGTACAGGAAAATACTTTGAAATCTATACATAAGAAATAACTGATAAAGACTTTTATGATTGATTCTACTTTGTTCCTCTTATACATATTGTATCAATCCTTCATCATTTTGGAATTCATACAAAAGTGAGAACAGAGAAGAGTGGATCGAATCGGTCACCTATATTTCTTTGGTTATCTATTTATTTATTAAATTTATTTGCCATCCACTTTGCCACAAAGCAACTTCCAGTTAGGACCACTAAGATTCACTATATATGGGAGAAGGGGGAGGATTGTACATATGAACACAAGTGGAGTGAAGAGGTTAAGGTGGTGGATGAGGAGCAGGGAGATTTGGTTACATTTCAGAAGGAAGTATATTTGCATGCGCATGTGTAGAAATTATTGTTAATATTATAAAGGATTGAGATAATAAGCTCTTTTGCAAAGGCTGTCTTCGTGAACATAAGCTCTGTTATACAACTCAGCTATTTCCAGATGAGGAAATAGTTAGATTGCAGTAAAAATTATTGTTAATTTTGTTTCTTAGTCATAAAGCTCATCTAGTGATATCTAGTAGCTATATTCCTGTTTTCAGTCGCCTCTTCCTGAGAGTGTGTTAATTTAATATGAAAATATACACAGATATAATTATTTTGTGATAAGCGGGGTTCGTAGCACACTTACTAACATCATAATATTCCAAATCCTTTGTTGATACAAATGCAAATAAGTTTCTTAAAGCACTTTTCAGATAGTGATCACTGTTTGGTATCGTTTGGAAAATTATGCACCAGTGACCAAGGACAAGTAAAATGAAAACTGAATAGAGGACTGGTATACGGGACAGGTATATTTACACATTTTCCACAAAACAGATCACCCTCATTCTCACTTCTATGTATAACACAAGTATAGCATGCAAATGGCATTAAGGCAATTACTAAGTAATGTCATAGAAGAACAACTCTGCAATTGTTCATGTTGACTTACCTGTATTTTAGTTCTTCACCTGCTAAGGAAAAATGCTCATATAAAGAATATGCCTCATTTCCTTCCCAGTCTTTCAACTGTATTCTCAGAACATACTGCTTCTGATTGGTTAGCTGAGAAACCAATTCATTTCCTAGCCAGTATTCTCCAGAAGGGTTCCCAAATCCCTGTAATCCAAATTACATATTTAAATATATTATTTTTTTTTCATTTTGAGATCAGTACTTCACACCTTTAAAAAAAAAAAGTCATCTGAATTGAGTCAAACCAGCTGAATTTCTCCATTTGGGAAAGTGAAATTGTTCAAACACAGATTTAGATATGGGAAAACCAAGTGGAACCATTTAATTGTTTAGCTGTCAAGAAAATTGCCATAAAAAAAGATCATACATATTTTTTAAAACACAATTGTAAATTAAACATTACTGTGTTAATAGACAATCTATATACAACAGATGAAATCTATATTTCATTTTACAGCAGAATTGCCTCATGTATTTTCCTCCATTGACAGGAAATAATATTCAGTTTTAGTGACATAAAATAGGAAGGAGATGGTTGAGATGATTCTTGGGATTCTTCCGATTTTGTTACTACAAAGTGTTAAGCTATGTCATTAGATGGCATTGCTTGAGACAATATGTCTTGACAAAAAATTATTAGTAGCTGGTAACAATCAGGTGATAGTACTCAAGTCCAGTAACAAAGAAAACACAGGGCATGGGTAGATACAATTCAGCTATGTTTATCCAAGTAGGCAGAAGCAAGAGGGGAAATTAAGCCTTTATTCAAGTTTTTTTTTTTAATAAAAGCAGTTCAATGGAGACAGCAGTGGAAGAGAGAAAAGAAATATCGAAGATATCAGGGTATGAATCATTTTAGCATGGATGGATTCTCTACAAATCTGAAAGGGGAGCACTATCTGTTGTGCATTGGTACTGTAATCCTTTACATATTTTTAAAACACATACACAAATTTGTAAATAAATGAAGATACTGTAAAAGGCTGCTAGCTTTCCTGTGACCGAATTCAAGAAAACCCATCCCAGGGTAAATGCTAGAATTTTGAGATGCCCAGTCCAGAATATTTGAATACAACATTTATCTGCATGGCTTAACAAGCAAAAGGCTATAGGTTTAACTTTCTGGCTTCTTCAGTAAAAAAGTTCTTGGATGTTAATGCTGGGGAAAAAAATTAAAATTATAACATGATCAGAGTAAGACTGTGTCATGTAGAACACCAAGGAGATATATATTCAGAGTCTAATCAAAAGCTTATCACATTGTTCTGCTTACCATTTTATATTCCGCCCATGTTCGGTCAAAATCTACATTGCCATCTAAGCGTCGCTGAATAATTGTCCAGGCTCCTCCTGCCGTCTCCATATCACAATATGTCTGCCAGGACACACAGATATAGAAATTGTTACTTACTTAATTGATTTTTATCCCAAGTTAAAGAGTTAACAAAACTATGTCTATTTATGGGAGGCAAAATTTGCTTGCTCATTTTTTTTTTACTTCCCATGTGATATAAAAATACAGTTCCCATAATCATGTTATACTTGAGTATTATGCCTTGTGCAGAGAAACAGAACTGACAGTAGAAGTATGGCAACATACTCCACCAATGCTTGCATGCAAACAAGCAATCAGCTTTCTCTCTGTGTTCAGTTTGAATAGTACTAGGAAACTTTGTGTTAGGGCCTATAGTATTATGTCTGTTTATATGAGCACATATAATAAAAACATGTTCCTGGAGTGATGTGAATGCTGTCTAGCTCTCCATCAAGCAGATCCTGTATTTTGCTGCCAGTTTTGATTCTCCAAACACTTCTGTTTTTGAAATAATAGAAAAAACATTTCTGTTTTTGTTTTTGAAACCTTTTGTTGTTCTTCCTTTGGGGGAATATCTACCAGGCGTAATCTGTAGAATTAAGATTTCCATTAGTAATATAATGGCATATAAAGCATGCTATCTTTAGAAATCCATTTCTCGCTTCTGGACTTTGTGTTCGAAGTGAAAAAAACGAAACTTTGATTTGGCTTTTGTTGATGAGATAAGTTTGTTGTTAGAGAAATGGCTAGTATATATTATTAGGTAAAAGTAGAAAAAACGTTGAGGTTGTATGTTATTACTTATTCTGCTATGCCAAAGACTCAGAAGTCACTGCTTTTCTTTTCCCCTATACTTTTTCCTCTTCCTTTTTTCTTCCTTCGTTTTCCTATTTTCATTTTTCTTTGTATTTTATATTTTGATAAGCTAATAAAAATTTGTGACCAAAAAAAAAAGAAATACATGACTAGTTCTAACAAGATATTTAAGGAATTACATTTAATAAGGCTTTTTGGTTAGGGTTCAATTGTTTGATTATTAAAAGGCCTGATTAACAATTGAAAAGTGCAAGAGGGTCTCCTGTTTTTACACAACATTCACAACTATACCAAACTTTGCAGATGTGCAAAGTTTGTCACATCATACCCAAAAAGACTCGATTGAGGCTGTAATTGCTGCCAAAGGTGCTTCAAAGATGGGTGAAGGGTCTGAATATTTATGCCAATGTGATATTTCTTTTTTTTTTCCTTTTTAATAAATGTACAGACATTTTTAAAATTCTGTTTTTATTTTTTCATTATGGGGTACTGAGTGTAGATTGAGAAAAAAAAATGAGTTCCAACAACTGTAGAATCAGGCTACAGCATAGCAAAATTGACAAAAGTGAAGGGGGTCTGAATACTTTCTGAATGCACTGTAAATGTCATCCATTATATCAGAACTGGGGGGGGGGGATGTCCAATTAGATTTTTAGTTGCACCTCTCAACACTAATCCTCCACCCCACAGAGCTAACAGCTTCTGCATCTTGAGATATTTATGAAAGGCATGCAGGCCAACCATTTCAAGAACAAACTCATGTTGCACCATTTATATGTCTTTCTGAGTTTCATACAAAAAGACAAGGGATTTAGCCATTATTTTGTAATGCAAGAAATAGGGAAAGCAAGATGATGTTAACAATATCACAGTAGTATAGCTTCAACAAGAAAGCAGGCATGTCAGCTTTGCATTGCGCTTCCTAATGAAAGCTTGCAGGGGGAAGAAAACAAGATTAGCAACGTACATTGTGCTGCGGTGTTTATAAGTCCCTTGAGAGGCCAGAGTGTGCATTGACAGGAAAAGATCAAAACATAAACAGCTGAAGTCTGGCAAATAAAAGGCAATTTTGTTTCTCTGCCCAAAATAAAATGTAAAGCAACATCAATAGCACCGTAAATCCCGGTCTTACAAAAAGGCCATCAATATTTTCCCTAAAAAGGTAATGACAGTAATTCTGGTGTTATCATGGGCAGAATGAAATCCACTAGGACTGTTTCTGCAGAACTTCAGTTTTCCAGGAGTAGTATGTGGGACTCCAGGCAAGTTGCATCAAAATTAATGAAGGTTAAGCGGTAATAGTGTTTGATGGATTACACTCCTAAGGCTGGAATAATCCATTAAACTGCTGCAAATAAAGAGGGTGATGGCAGTCTAAACACTGTAATCATTCTACTCTGTGTTGCAGGTCTGGGAATAAAAATTGTTCCATCAATTATCCTGCCTAATTGTTGGCCTAACATTGACCTCACTTTGAGACAGTTTTTAAAAAATATCTATAGGAGCACAGTGCTAATATAAAAACCCAGTCATACTTTGAAATGCATATGGTTGACATATTCTACTATATGCTAAAGATAGCATCTCTGATCAGACCTGGACTTAAGATAATACTTTCAATATGTTCTGTTAACCTGAAAGTAAGATTCTCCTTTTTCTAACCCTTGAAAACTGAGCGATTAAGCTTTTTAATTTGTACAACTTTTTAACTTATACAACTTTAACTTATACAACTGTACAAAAATATTTGATACTGAAAGAGTTTCCCATTCTGATTAATGTAACCAAGAGAGTGTAATACCTTTTTTTCTTCTCCTGTGTTAGATATAAGTAATGTGTAAATACCACTTGCTGTAAACCCCATTTTGAATGCTTCTGAGCAGTCTTTAAAACTGATCTGTTCTTTTCCAGGGACCAAGGCATTCTTGGATGCTAAAAAGCAAAATGCAAAAACATATTAAGAAAACTGTTATAAAAATCTCTTAAATTCAGTTGCAATGGAGATCTGGTCTAAATACTATTTTCTCCACCTGCCCTACCATTTTTCCAGCCTTTTCAATCTGTTTACTGTTTAAGTAAGGTCTATAAATCTAGTTTCCTTACAATACAAGTTTGTTTCCAGTCATTTAATTGTTTTTCCACACTTCTTTGATAATTAGAACTTAGCCCTCTTGACACTGGCAAATGTTCAGGATATTTTTTCCACATCGCGCTAAAGCCAGTATGATTTGTTTACTTGTTTGTGCACTACTTAAGAGATAACATCAGCAAAAACATTAGCAGTTTCAAAGTTCTCAAAGAAACTATTTTTAAACTGTAAGACTAATTGGACAGAATCAACTTCCTTAAACAAAACAAATATCTTATGAATTGATTGTGGAATGCTTATAAAGACCAGCCAGATCCTCAACAATGTGATAACCAGTGGAAAGTTCTTGTTCAGATTTAATCAGATCTACCTTCCTTCAGAATATTTTGTCATATTCTGCTCCCCTGTATCCCTGCTCCCCTGCCCCAAATCATTTGCCCACCATTCCTTGTCCACTGAGCAAAAGTATCCACAGGATGGAATTTTAAAGTCAAGATGGTAGCCATGGCAATGCAACCAAAGCTCTGTCTGCTTGTTATGCATGCCACATGTGCATCACATGTGAAAATCAGACAAACTTTGATCACTCTTTTCTTTCTGTTTTTTACTATATTTTTATTATATTTTGAGGATGCCCTGCCACTGATGAACTTGCTTAGTTCTGGCTGACTATTTTGGTTTTCATGTGTTAAGATTTCTGTAATGGGTCAGACGTTACAGATGCCATACATTTGCTGATAATTCCCTCCCTGTTGAATTCTGGATCCTCATTCAATATCTGTATCTATTAGACTTAACTATCTAGTAAAGTAATTTTGGCAAAAAAAATATCATATCTTTTTGGTGAAGAAATATTTTTATTTCGAAGAGGTGCTGAAACAGCAAAACACTCACACAAAGCTAGAAAGAATCAGTTTTGACTTTTCAAACAATTGTTTTAATTCTGATACTGGAGAACGGAGAGAATTGTATTTGGCAGAATTCAGCCCTCCGTGGTTACATTCTCATAGTGTTAGAGCTTGTTCTGTCCCTCTGAATGACCCACTGGTTTACTATTTTCCATATTAGTATGGTATGAGGTTTAACACCCACACATAGAAGCGGACTCCCAAGATTTAGCATTGGTGCCAAACTCAGGGTGGTTTGGCCACTCTTAATCCTTTCTTTATTCCCAATATGTGGCTAGGGAATAGGTAGGGAATAAAACTTTCCCAAATCAATACAAACGTGATATAATTAGGCTTTATATTAAGAAAGAAACTGAGGATGACTGTGGGAAGGGAGGATTTTGAAGCTGAGGAAAATTGCAGGGAACAGAAAATGCTAACCAAAAAGCAATTAAGGAAACTATTCGTAGCTCAGAATTGAAGTGAGCGGTTCTTGATGCTATCTGAGTTTGGTTGTTTTTTTGCAGATGTTTCATTACCCAAATCAGTGCACTGATGATGTTACCTAGTTTGGATAATGAAATGTCTTCAACAGTCTAGCATTCCAAGAATGGCGTCTGTATATTCTACATCATCAGGATAACAATGACTCTGTCTTCTTTTTTACTTACGTTGTGGCGTAGAAATCATAGCAAACAAGTTTTGCACCGTTTCCCTCAGGTCATGTTGCTGCTTTTGCAGGAATGAGTTATTAGCAGTAGCGTTGACTAACTGTTTCTCTAATTCTTCTATTATGGAGTTCTGTCTAGAAACAAGTGACTGAAGCTTATCTTTCTCTTCTTTCATTGATTGTAGTTGGGATATGTGTTTGCTTTCCATTTCAAGGACCTTTTTTTCTAAAAGGCTAGCAAAAAGAAAAATCAGCTTTGATTATTGCAATATTTTATGCAAATTAAATCAAATAAATAAATGGATCTGAGCTAGTGAAAGTGCCCATGGTGGTGAAATATAGTCTGATCAAAACTTACAAAAATGACATACGGGCCCTCCCCATACATAACATTTCTTTATTAGCAGGGGCAAAATAACCTCAGATCCTAGTTACTAAGATTATTACTAAGTAAGTAATAATCCCTTAGTAAGTTACTGAGTCATCATTTCTTTGATTTCTGATTCTTCCCTCCCCCCACTAGAAAAGGAGAGATACAACAACAGTGTGATCCCAAGTGCTTTGTGTGTTTTATTCTGGAGAAAAATATAATGCTATGTCCAAACTTTGTAACCTATGTAAAATAAAGACAATATGTATTATTTTATTTAATATGCAGTAAATCTACAACAGTTCTTGTTTTGCATAATTTATGCTGATCTTGATAGATGTGAAAAAGGAGTTGGAATATACAGTATATTGATGTGAAATTTCTGTCTCTAAAGACTGCTTCATTGGATACTTTAGAAAATGAATAGTAAAGTTTTCAGGACACTGAATTCTGCAATCAATTCCAAGTTTTGTATTCCTCCAAGACACATAAACTTGTTTAAGTGAGAATGCTTTAGAGCAGTGATTCTCAACCTGTGGTCCATGGACTTGGGGCGGGGGAGCAATGTTGTCACAGGGGGTCCACGAAGGCTTGAAGGAATTTTATGATTTAAGGTAATTAAAGGAGGTCCATGCTGAAGGAAAGGTTGAGAACCACTATTTTAGAGTACTGATTGTACAAGTCTTTTGAATATAGGACTGCGATCAGTGGCCAAAATGATCTCTGGGACTTTAGAACTGTTATATGTACATACCTCTGTACAGTATACGCCACTTCCAGATAACTATAGTTGAGCTTGGGTCAATATTGATACCTATTAAGAATCTTTTCAATGATATCTGACCTCTGTTTTAGCATTATGGGTACCTCTAAAATAGTCACAGGAGGCCACATGCCATACTGATCTCTCTCTCTCTCTCTTTTTTTTTTTAATTTACAGAACACTTTGAATCAGCATAATTCAGATCGATTTTTTTTAAAGGTGCTAGATTGAACACAATCCAACGGAATTGAAAACTTTCCACCACCATCCAACAGCTGCATCATGCTAAAATCCGAGCCATGCCCAGTTATATGATATCATGCCCTACCTACTATAGCCTTGGTTGCTAAAAATATGCCTAACCAAAAGGTCTTATCTACAGGTACCAAATGGTTGTCCCTATCTACCTAGAATGCTACCTACACAATTGCTCTCACAATATCCAACTGTTATGGTCTTCAAGCCTTCTAGTCTCAGTGAAAAATGCACAAGTTAGTGCCACCTTTGAAATGATTCAAGTTCTGAGTTAGCTGTCTAGATATTATTTTGCTCTTGCCCCAGTAAGTGTGGAAACAGATTTTATAGTGTCTGTTCCAAAATATTCTTGTTCTATAAATATTTGTGACTTGTTAATAAGTAGTAAATGACTTGATCCAAATCTATTCCTTCCCTTATTCCATTAAATGGCATATGAATAATGAGCCCATGTTGATTTTGCTCCTCCAGGAGCAAATCTTGTTTGCATAAAACAAGCTTAGCAGGAGCATACACAAATATAGCAAGAGAGTGAAGACAAATGTGAAAACATGCCCTTTCCCCTCAGCGTTAATGTTTACCAGAAGTGAGAAGTTCTTTTATGTATCTGAATTCCTACCAAATAATAGTTGGGCTCATTATAAGTTCAAGCCTACCTTATGCTATTCTTAAGTATAAACCTCTATTGTTTTTAATTTTGGAAAGCAGCTTGTTGATCTCCATTATCTTTCCACCAAGATGTCAACAACTCACTATAAAAGCAAGAACTACGCAGCTGAATGAATGTGCTTGCTGTCCAATTTAACAAACAGTAAGGTTGGCTTCTCAACACATGGATCCAGCCAACTGCCTAAGCAGCCAACAGCAGGTCACACACAAGGTTCATGGAATAAGTGAAAGTCACAATTCCCTGAACCTCTCCAGCTGGTCCAGCTCAGCAAGAAATGTTAATAGTTCTGTTGACTAGCTGCCATTCAAATATTTTGAGTAAATAACAACAGATTCAAAATTCTTTGACGTGGTATGCCAAATATTGATACAGGCAAAAATCAATATTTCTTGCTTGTACTGGATTTAAAAAAGAAGCATTCCCCAAGATTGGTTTCATTTTTATAACGAGCGGTTTAAAAATTGTTATGAATCTGGAAGGTTACATATTAAGATGGATGACTTGCTATATCTGGAAGAAAGATAAATGGGAGGAAGGAGTTCAAATCCCTAGTTGGTTAAACTCCATCGAATTTGGATAAGAGTTCATAATGGAGCAGATTGTTTCTTTTTAGGGCGTTAGAGTCAGTACTAACCCCCGGTGACTGCCTGGACTACTCCCTGCAGTTTTCTTGGCAAGTGTGATAGGCTGCAGGGATGTGTTAAGAGGGGCTCAGGTTTGGAGTCATTGCACTGTAGGAAGTGGCACAGGCCTGACCTCGTTCAGAATTCCTGAAGCCTTATCTTGCTGTTTGCAATGGAATGCAGTCAGTCTAGCGAGATTCTTGTAACATACTGGACCTTGTCCACTATGGACATAAAACTCCTATTGAGACTCCCCATAAGTGGTTCTATTTGCTTTTGCCAGGTTGCCTGCTTCCTAGAGCTCAAAGAGAATGACTCGCTCACGGTCACCCAGCTGGCTTTGGGCCAAAGGTAGGACTAGACCTTATGACCACCTGGTTTCTAGCTTGATGCCTTCACCACTATACCAGATGGCTCTCTAAAAGGCTGTAGTGGAAAACATTCAACCTTGAATTCTTAGTTACTTTTAGACTAAACTCTCATTATTGCTGCCCTCTGGTCTTGTGGTTGAGAATCTGGTATTGTTCAATATCAAGGGATCTAAAATCAGGAAAGACCAACTGTAAAGGAATGCATGAAAAAGAGATGGAGCTATTTGGTCTCATTTGCAATTATGACTTTCACTACTCACTATTGTGAGTACATAATAAATCTTGCACCTCCAAAAATAATAATATTGCTGTTGTGATGGTGGTGGTGGTGGTGGTGGTGGTTGGGCACATAGTCAACCATATATTTAAACTGGACCTGGGATAAAAGCAGGTAGTGTTCTTTGATGATGTAATGTTGTATTCAGTAAGCCATATGGTGTACTGACTTCATTGCATCTTCTTCACTGTCCTTTAGATATTCTTCCAATGCCCTTTTTTCTTTTTTAACTGTTCAGCGTACTTGTAACATTCCACAATAACCTATACTCCTTGGTAAATTGACTGTGGATGAAGGGCATGATTCATTGTCATTATTTTTCTGATCTTTTTATTCAGGACTTCTATTCAGCTTGAGTCCATTCTAATGACTGGAATTGCCAGGTGTTTATTGCCTTTATGGCAGTGATGGCTAACCGAGTGCCCAAAGCGTGCATGCAAGTGCGCCCCAACCCCCAAAATGCAATGTGCGAGCAGCCCCGCGCATGTCCCTATGCTTGTGAATGTGACCCCCTCGCATGTACCCCGCCCCCACTAATGTGTGCGCCCCCTCCACATGCACCCCACACACATACACAGCAGAGACTCGAAGACCAGCTGGCTGGTGGGATGCATGCGTGCATGCACGGCAGAGCTGAACTGGGGCGACGGCTCGTGTGCCATCAGAGAGAGCGCTGTGTGCCACCTCTGGCACATGTGCCATAGGTTCACCATCACGGCCTTTATGGTATTTTCACCACTCACTCTGGTCTTTAAGATCATCTTTACTCTCTTGATATATTCAGTACAAATCTTATTGACTTCATTATGCTTGAGGCTGAAGGATACCCAAGTATTTGTAGTGATCTTCTTCATCCAGACTCTTGATGTTATTTCTACAGGGCATCATGATAACTTCAGTTTCTGATTCAGCTAAAATAGGAGTTTCTGCCTATAGCCATGATGATGAACCTATGGCATGCGTGCCAGAGGTGGCACGTAGAGCTCTCTATGTGGGCACACACACTGTCGCCAGCTGCTCTTCCAGGTTCCGTCATGGGCATGCGCGCCGGCCAGCTGCTCTCTTCTGGGTTCCAGTGCTCTGGCACGCACATGCGCTCTCCAGTTTCAGCACTCAGTGCCAAAAAAATTAACCATCGCTGGCCTATAGTATACAATTCAAGCTTCATATCTGCTGATATTTGCTGCTTGTTATTTACTGCTTTACTTCCAGGGTTTCCTTAATCTTCTTTGTTTCTAGGTGATATTTCTTGATCAGATATTTTTTGGTTTTGTTCTTCAGCTTCTTTTCTTTCATCTGTTCTAGCTTGCTTGCTAGATCTGATCATCACATGCTGATCTTATTTTCCAGCCTGACCTTTCATTTTAGTTTTGCACTCTTTGCCTTTTTTTTTTTTTTTTGCAACCATGCTGTACATTAGTTGGTTTGTTGGTTGCAGTGAGCTGGTGCTTATGTTTGATATTACAGTATTGGCATTTTGTGCTAGCTGTTTTTTTGGAACAAGTTTCAATGTAGGCAACGTTATTCTGTTGTTTTTGTGCTCTTTTAGATGCTCAGTTAATCTTTGTTTCAATGTTTTTTGTGTGACAGAACTTTGAGAAGGCAGAAGTAAGGGTGCCTAGTTTGGAAATAAAAACTATTCAATAGTTGCAGTATGCTGGCTTCCTCTACTGCTGACTCCCCCTAGTTTGTCTGTACAGTCTGAGCTAGTTTTGGCAAGGCTTCATTTTATTTGCCCTGGGTAGACCTTTGCAGTTCTTCCAATTCTGCTTTTGTGAATATTTTGTTTTATAAATTGATGTTGATCTGCTAGCCTCTGTCCTGTTATTTCTGACTCTGGATGTTGTTCTTTCCAGAACTGGTGCATTTTTTTTTCAGATATCCTTTTCTTGTTGATTTGTAACAACAGATCGGTTTTTTTGTTTTCAATCTTCATATATTTGTGATAGGTAAGCACCTTTTCTTCCATAGCCTTGCAGCTGCTGTCCCTGGTTGCTCAGTCCTCAGTCCTGTAGCCCATTTTTCACCAGATGTCCAGAATTCCAACACTTGGGGGGGGTTCTTGTTAACTCAGGCAATGGCCAATCTGTTATAGGTTTCTGTAAATTACGTCTTACCATCTTGTTTATGAGAGAGACATTCTTTATTAGGCTTCTTTGAAGAGATCTATCCAATAGGAATGAATGTCTGGCATAGTTCTTCAATTCCTCAGAGCACACAAGCCCCACAACCATGTTAAGGTAGTATTTCACTCAAGGAGGTTTTACTATTATTGTTCTCTAAGCTAACAATGAAATCACTCTACTAATGTCACAGAACTGAAAAAAAAATTCCCTAGTACAGGTAATCTTTGACTTACAACCACAACTGAACCCAAAATTTCAGCTGATAACAAGGCACTTGTTAAGTGAGTTTTGCCCCATTTTACTTTTTTTTTTTTTGCCACAGTTGTTAAGCAAACCACTGCAGTTGTTAAGTGAATCGTGCAATCATTAAGTGAATTTGACTTCCCACATTGACTTAGCTTGTCAAGCCTGCTGGGAAAGTTACAAATGGTGATCACATGACCCAGCACACTGCCCAAATTTTGATCATGTGACCATGGGGAGGCTCACACTTATGTGAAAAACAATAAGTCACTTTTTTCAGTGCCATTGTTACTCTGGGGCCTGGACTCTAAATGAATGGTTGTAAGCCAAGGACTACCTGTAACTGAAAATATGTTGTAAAATAAATTGAAATCCATTTATCCTTACTGTTATACTGTTTAAGCAAGCATGAAAAATGCTAGGGACATGTGAATTTTTTCCATAGAATAGTTTGCTTGGTAATAAAGAAAAAGTTCCTCAAGATTTGGCATTGATGCAAATTCAGTAAATATAAATAATATCTTTTTTTTAATTATCAATTTTAGTTTTTGCCTATTTTTATGCATTGAGCTAAAGTCATGTTTGTTTTTATTTCATTTTCTTTTTGAAAGTAATGTTAAAGGATGTTATAACTATACACTTCCTATAGGAAAATGATAATTAATTTCTATATTCATGAGTCAATAAAAAAATCTTACCTGTTTTTTTCTTGCAGTTTACCTATCTCATTGGTCTGATCTGAAATCTGCATTTCTAGTTTGTTAGTTGAGATAGAATGGGCCAGCAGTTGAAGCTCCAGTCGTGTTGTCTGGTTTAACACCTACATTTGGAGGAGGGAAAATTTGAAATAAATGACTATCAATATTGTAAAAATAATTACCATATAATCCCAATGTACCTAAATTATCAGAAAATAAATACTTTCTGAAATGTGTGTTGTTATATAGTCATAAAGCTACATGAACTTTATACAGTCAACCTATGTTCCTGTTCTGCCCCAGCTTTGGATTCCCAGAGAATGTGACACACACCAAGCTTCGCAAACACTGTTTAATTCCAAACAAACCCCTTTCAAGAATGCAGGCTTCCCATGCAAAGGGTCCTTATCAAAGTTATTAAGAACAAAGTCCGACAAAGGTTGGCAACCAGCCCAGAAAACCAGATATGAGAAGTCGCTCGCTCTCCAAGATGCTCTGTAGTAATGAGACGTTGTTTCTAGCAAGAAAGCACTAGCTGTGTGCGACTTAAATAGGCTAAGGGAGTGGCCAATTATCCTCAAGCCCTACTCTCGAGTAGACCTCCTCCTGAGTAGCCACTCCTGCCTTTTGGTAGCCCTGCGTGCCCGAGCATTGAGGAGAGGTTCCTCCACTCCGCGCTCTCCACTGGAAGGAGCCTCTGGAGGTTCTGAAGGCCCTGGCTGAGTCTCTGCCTCTGGCATCACATCCTCTTCGGCCTCCTTGCTGTCCGACGCGAGCACCGGCTACGCAGGCTGCTGGCGTGACACCACGCCAGCCTCCTCGTCGTTGGGATCAGCTATGGTTTAGGTTTAGGTTTATTTGATTTGTATACCGCCCTACTCCCGAAGGACTCAGGGTGGTGAACAGCCAACAATAAAATACATAAATACAAAAAATTTAAAAACCAGATAAAATCAAATTAAATCATTTTGGCCCAGACAGATTAAATGCTTTAAATGAGATAAATGTTTTAAATGAAATTTAAAAAAGGGAATGTTGGGAATCAGCAGTTGAAATTCAACCTGTCTACTTCATCAAGTATTTCATGGTTCAAATCATTGCTTTTTATTATTTAAAAACAATATTGGGAATGCCTTTTTCCTATGTGATCACAGAGAAGTTTTCTGGGTGTATGTAGTGAAAATCCATGTTCCTTTTTGCCAAAATGACACCATGGTTTCGGTTTTAATATACTACTTTAATGACTGTTTCTTGCCTCTTTTTTAAGTCTCAAGAATGACATCTGTTTTTAAGAATGAGGAAACAGAACTGTCATGTGGAGCTTTGTTTTCCGTTCTATTCTGCTACATGTTCTGCAGGTCCTTATTGTGTTTCTCACTGTGTATTTTTTTTTAAAGTTTTAATTCATCAAGATTTGGCTTCAGTTGGCAGGATGAATTTATTACTCACATCCTTCATGTTGAACAATCATTCAGGACATGATTTCACACTTAAGTGTATTTCCAAATTGTTGGCAAAGATTTACTTATTTATTTATTTTAAAGATTCTTAGGATTGCCTGTTTTGGAATCAGATTCTGGGTGTTATATGGGATAAGACAAATGTAAGGAAAAAATAGGCTAAACTTTTAATTTACTAAGGTAAAGCTAGTAGTAGCTTTACCTTAGTAAATCATGTAATGCATTTAATTGATAGATAGTACAGTATCCGGCAGTCATCTCTGGTGAGGGCATTTCATAAACGTCTGAAACACACTCTCTCCAGTGAGAGAAAGAGCATCTTTACAAAAACTTCACTAAGAGATCTTAAAGGAGGAGGAGATTTATATGGAGGTTCTTTTTTTTTTAAGATCTTATACCAAGGCCAAGATACTGGAGGAAGTAATTTTTCAAGTATTTGTGGCCCAGGCCATTTAGCAAGAATCAATAGCCTATGTTGTCCTTAGAAGGAAACATACAACTAATGAAACACTTTACAAATTGGTCTTTATTTATTGAAGTTTCTGAACTATCAAGTTGGTCATGTCAGAAGGATATTGAAGTAACTTATAAAATCACTCCAATGCAGCCAATTTTTTATTACTAGAGTTTTGCCTTTTGAACTGAGATTCTGGGAATTTTATTTTTTTAACAAACAGGTTTGAAGACTCCGGGTTAGTTAACTAATTTACTATGTTTTTTAAATCATGTTCAAAATTGATTTAGTTAATGGGAATCTTCTGTTTTCATGGAGAAATTGGTCTGTAGAAGAATATATAAACATTTGAAAAACCCATCTGTAGTTTAATTTTCATTTCCTTTTGCATCATGTTTAGAATGCTTTGTGTTCTATGCTTTGTAAATTATACAAAAATTTCCAAAGCATTCAAAATTTTGCTCTTTTAAAACAGTCAGCAAAACAGTTTAGTTCACTGTTCAACATAAATGTTTCAGAAACAGTTGTAGCTGGATACAAATACTTTGTGAACATTTTTCATTTATTGTGAGGTATGTAAGAAGTTTCAAATGAATTTATTATTTCAAGAATTCTATATTATTTGTTCTGTAAATGTAATCATTTGTGGTTATTCCATAATAACCACAGTTTTGGATGAAAATTTGACTTGAGATCTCTAATGAAGGGATACAAAGAGAGAGAGAAAGAACGAGTTTGAGTATGGGAATTTTAAGGAACCACAATTGATTTGGGACTTGGACATCAACTTGAAAAAATGTGACCATTTATTTTTCCTTGGCACTTCCTGTTATCCCTTAACCTTTCTCCCACTCAGTTTATTCTTTTCATTTATCCTTCAACTAAGTCATAACTGTTGAAATACTAATGCTTATCCAATTTCCTCACATAATATGTCTTACATAAAGGCACACAATTTGGACCCCTCTAAGATTTGCTTCTGCATTGTTTGATGGGCTGTAGCAGATTTTTAAAAATCTGGATTTGGATCTGGGTTCCAGTCAATGTTTCTTCAGTTTCAGTTTCTGTTCCTTTCTATGTTAAAAAAAATAAGACTCAAACTTTAAAAAACATTTTCAAAAGTGCTCTATAAGCAGAGAGACATTTTCCAGGACTAAAATCTCAAAATCTGCACTGGTATTAATAGAATACAGTCATATTTTCCAATAATGTACAATGCCTTTATTAGACATTGCTCGATATTAAGTTAGGTCCTTCTTGCTCACTTCCAGGTTTCTTTGCTCATAATCCAACCACTGCTAATGCTGCAGCTATCAAAGACAATCCTTAATTTTCTAAGGCCCGTACACTGCCCAAGTCTTTCTCACATAAGATTCTTTTCTCTGTCCAACTCAATTGCAAATAGATCAAGGCAAGAGATTTCAGCATATGCTCACATGAACTCAGTTGAGGCTGTTCTCTCATATAACAAGGGAATGAGTGATTTTAGAAAGAAGAACATTTGTACTGAGTTTAGTAATATAGTATTAGTATAGTATTACATACATTCTATATGTATATCAAATTATATGGAAAGAAAAAAACATGGTTTATCCATGCATCACAGAGCAGATGCTCAGTCTAATATTTCCAATGGTGGAATGTATACAAAACAAGAAGAGAGATGGTCATTTTCCTCACAGATGCATTTTGAAAAAGATTATTTAATTACAGTCTTCTCAAATACATTCGTGGTTTTTTTTCCAAGGTTGAGCGTTTTCCTTTGTATTAGCCAAATGTTTCTCATGAAACTGCAGATTAAATGCTTTTTCAGGGCAAAAATATTACTCTAGCCGGCAAAACATAGTGCTCTTGTTACTTACATGTGCTTCGACATCTGTTAATTTGCGGGTATGTTCTGCTGTTTGATTTAATAGGTTTGTGCCTAATTCAATCATCACTGCTGTCTGATTCTGAACCGCATTCTGCTGAATCTCAACCATTTCTTTTTTCATATTATCTTGGATATAATTCTCAATCTGCGTACAGAAGAAAGAGAAGATTTGTTACTATACAGTCCAGACATAGTTTTGACTTCTTTTGTTTTTGTTTTTGTTTAAAAAGGTAAAACCAAACGGGGAAGTCTGTTGTAAGCCACACAGACTGACTTTCATCCTTAGTCTTCCTGAGCCAAATCTAGTACATCTTGTTTTCCAGTAGCCAACATAAAAAAGAGAAGAGATAAAATTAAAATAAAATACTGTTGGCTCTAATGTAATAAAAACTATTGAACATTCATTATTATTTTTGGTCTTCTTTTAAGGAAACTCTTTATCATCATTTCTTGCTTAAGAAAAATGCAGACAGATTGCCTAAAGGAATTAAACTAGATGATGAAGAGATATGAAGTATGATGTGATTCAACATTATGATACAAGTGTGTCCCTTTTTTGTCCATGTAATGTTGGAGAGTATATGATTCTAGGTCTCTCTGGATATGGTATTGCACATAAGAACTTGAGTGGTTATTCAAGTTGAGTGATTATTCAAACTTGTCTATACGGATGTTTCCCACTATTGTCACCTCTGGTGGCATTGGATCATTGCACATTTTGATTAAGATGAGATAGTTTAGACAAAGGCTCAACAGTTTAGTCATCTTCCTGAATAAGAAGTTCAAATATGTAAGAATATCTCAAACCTATGTTGCTGAGATTAGACAAGAAGTCTGGTATGTTATTTGTACATTGTTACTCAGCTTTGAGACAAACAAAACATAAAAAGAGTGTGAAACAATATCTTTCTTCACGGAATGCCAAAATAACAACTGTTTCAAAATTTTCTTGGGTCACGTTCTCATAAATGTTTCAGCATGTGTGGCCAACATCATATTCCAAGATTTAATGTTTTTTTAAAAGGCGCTGTTTATATTAAAAATTGCTTGGTGGGGTGTTTTCTTATAGATCCCAAATTCTTGGAAAATTAATTTTCTCACAGTCCCTTTTTCTTATTTTTAATACAGGCCTTAAAACTTTATTGTCCTTAGTCAGCATTTCAATTGTTGGATGTCTTATCACCTTTCATCATTAAATTGCCTTCAACTAAAAAAGTAGTTAAAATCTAATTCGTAATAGGAAATAATTCTTGATTTTTTTTTTATGTCCCTTCCTTTTTTCTTCCTATACAATATTCAACTCGTATTACTTTATGAGTAGTATTGAATAATATATTCTCCCAATATAGAACATTCCCTAATTTTATTTCCTCAAATCAGCCTTCCTAATTTATTGCCCTCCAGATGTATTAAGTCTCTAAATTCAATAATTTTCAATAAAGATTCTCAGTCGTCCAAGTAGAGTTATCCGGAAGTTGAGTCAACTCAACTTTCAGATTCAATTATTCTCAAAATTGAGAATTGTACTTATTCCAGATAATAGCACATATGTATTTCGCGGGTATTTGTATGTAGGTCTTTGGTTATTCGGGTTTTCTCCCGCGTAAAATTGGAAGTGTCTTGGCGACGTTTCGATGAAGTCTCATTTGTCATCTTCAGGCTGGTGTTTTCGGCTTCGTGCTTCTAGGAGCAAGTGCTCCTAGAAGCACGAAGCCAAAGATGACGAATGAGACTTCGTCGAAATGTCGCCAAGACACTTCCAATTTTACACGGGAGAAAACCCAAATAACCAAAGACCTACGTATATGTATATGTATGTGTGTGTGTGTGTGTGTGTGTGTGTGTGTGTGTGTGTGTAATATTGCCCTTATAAGAACTCTGTGGGTTGGTTTGGCAGGTGAAAGAATAATTGATAGGCCCAAATCTACACTGTGAGCTTCAGTATCTGAGTCTGAATTTTCCTTATCCTAACCCAAAACCTAGTGGCTTTAAGGGGCTGGGAATTTTCTTGCATTGTTGAAACCAAAGCCCTAACTAATTTTATCTAGAATCTGTTTGAAGAAATTCAGTATTAATTCCATTGTTTGCTATGACTTACTTTCATCACCATTGAAGATTCATCATTTCTTCCTTTGGTCTTTGCCTGACAAAATAAATTCAAATTGTCTGAACTGATTGTTTCTCTTTGGAAGAATGTTAGTGAGACATTTATTCTTAATTTAAGGAGTGAACAATGTGTAGTCTGTGGCCTACAGATTAGGCCCACAACAATCACATCAGTGATACTTAATGACAAATGCCAAAAATGCAGTGCATTTTATTTAATTTAAAAGGTGTCCACTAAGTTTAAAATATGTTTTCTGTTAACCACCACCCCCAACCTGCTTCTCCCAAGCTTAATATCTTATCCTCTATCCTCTTACAATAGCATCCTGCCCCCTCATTTTCAAACTGTGTGTGTGTGTGTGTGTGTGTGTGTGTGTGTGTGTGTGTGTGTGTGTGTGTGTGTAAAATGTAGCTCTGATTCAGGAAAGTGTTTTCTGCCTAAGATTTAAATATTGTTAATTAAATAAATAGTTAAATAAATTAATTTATTAATTAATAAATATATAAAAATAAACTTTTTACTTAAATACAGTACCATTCCTTGAGCAGCCTCAATGACATTCATCCATCATTTGAAAAGAAAAAATTTGCCAGTTCCTCTTTAAAATAAGACTGTTCCTGAATCTTGTGTACATCTATTTCACAGAAAAAAATCAAATGCTAGACTAGCAAATTGGCTGTGCTTTCCCAGATATTTTTACTTATTCTTCATCTATGTGATTTATAATTCCATTTCAGTGCAAAATAACTAAACTTTCTCCTTAACAAGACTTAGTGTTCCTTTTATTAATGTCGTCAGGCACTTTTGTTCTTGGCAATAGTAACGATATATGGAACTCTCCATTTTTGCCTGCTAAATGCTACCCTTTATGAAGAACATATGTAAATGTTACAATACATGATGCAAATCATTTTGTAGAAGAAATATCTAGCCAGAACACTAATATATAGTAACACCGAAAATAGGTTGTGGCCTGAAGGCAATGAACTAGAGAAAATCCAAAGAGTTTGAAATTGGAAAGCTTGCATTTTCTTTGAACAGTAGATCTCCTGCTGTCATATGGCTTTTCAAAGTCATGTTTGAAATTTCACTCCTTCACATGAAATCAGTTGTTCAATCTCCAGCCCGGGGCCAAGACTAAGAAATCTACTTTGAAGAATTAGGGTTCCTGTTTGTCTTGGATAGCAAATTTGAAAAGGTATGTACATGTATTCAAACAACATGTGTGTGCTTTTCCATAGAGACTATATGGAGATTGAATGAATATAGAAAGAAGAAACCTGAATATATGACAAGAAATGGGGAGATAATGCTAAAAGGAAAAGAAACATTGAAACATTGAAAATAGATGGCAGAAAAAGTGGTCCATCAAGTCTGCCCTTTGAGGGTTTTTTTGCTTTTGTTGTTGTTAATTTTTGTTGGATGATAAGCATATGTCTATCCCAAGCATGTTTGAACCCAGCGTTTGCTAATTGCTGATGTACTTGACTAAAGATTTTTTGGACTAGTATAGTAGAGAATTGTGTAAATGTAAACTTCATCAAATGTTAACTTGTCCAGGTGAAAAATAAATACAGATAGTCCCCACTTAACACTACTAATTGGGATCGCTGTATGAAGTGGTCTTTAAGCTAAACATCACATGACAATGTGACTTATATCAGCAGTTCTGGTTGTGATCATTAAGCGAATCATTGTGGGTATTAAGCAAAATGTCACATGACTGCAATTTGTGACCTCCTATAGCAGGGGTGTCGTGCAGACGACATGTCATGGCAGCATCACATGACATATTGGAACTTTTTTCCCCTTTGTTAACTGGGCAGCAAGTTTCACTGCCCTGTCCTATAGCTTCTCCATTGTCTTTGCTGGTCAGAAGCCAACTGAGAAAGTGGCAAATAGCAATCACATGACTATGGGATGCTGCTATCATCATAAATGCATGATAGCTACTAAGCAATCATGATCATGGGACCACAGAGATACTGCTATGGTCATAAATGGGAGGACCGGTCATAAACCACTTTTTTCAGAACTCTAACTTCAGATTACTAAATGAATGGTTGTTAAAGCAGGGACTACCTGTAAATGCAGACTCCAGGTGCAATGAAATTTTTCACTTTGAATGGCCACTGCTGATAGTGACGGCATGATCAGATCTATTTATTGCTGGATTTGTGTGAATCAATATTTAATTTTTAGGCCTTGGCATATGTTACAAACTATTATTATTATTATTATTATTATTATTATTATTATTATTATTATTATATTGTGTTTTGTCAATGTTCATCCTCTCTGTCATAATATGGGCAACTATATAAATTATTTAGCTAAATAAATAGACTTGCTTCAGAAGTCTAAGAATTTTAAAATATCTTCTACTATATATGCCAGAAAAGGCTGTGGTTGTCACAGCAGAATCAGAAGGGTGTTTCTTTGGATGAAGGCTTTTTTTATCAGAAATACTTAACAATCAGAGCAGTTTTCATGACAAGAACTTTGTACTGCCCCTAGTACCTTGCCAATCAGATTTATCTAAGACATTAAAAAGGCTTTTTTAAAAGAACTAGAGCAGTGATGGCTAACCTTTTTGCCGTCGCGTGCCAAAAGTGGGGGTTGTGCGGGGGGGGTCGCACACATGCATGCCAACACCTATAATTCAATGCCCCCGTGCCACCCCACCACTTTTGGCATGCGATGGCAAAAAAGTTATCGGTGGGCCTAGTAGGCCTGTTTTTCATCCTCCCCAGGCTCCAGTGCTTTCTTGGAGCCTGGGGAGGGCGAAAACGGCCTTCCCCACCCTCCAGAGTCCCTCTAGAGGCAGGAAATGACCTGTTTCCCGACTTCCGGTGGGCCCAGAAGGCCCGAAAATCAGCTGGCTGGTGCACGCATGCACGCTGGAGCTGAACTAGGGCAACGCTCGTGTGCCCACCGATATGCCTCCACGTGCCACCTGTGGCACCCGTGCCATAGGTTCGCCATCATGGAACTAGAGCATGTGTTTTGGTCTCTCCTTGGATAGACTTTTCAAGCAC